TCCATTCCAATACCCACTAAATGATACAACGAATATCGTTGTGGTAATTCTGGTCGACGTACTATAAATTGAAAAATTTAATCAAAAACTTTAAAATTATTTCAATTATCTCAAATATTTGCATTAAAATATTTATGAATTTTGAAGCAAATTAAAGTATACAAAAATTTGCTCAAATTTTTGCTATAAATTATTAAATCTTAAAATACTTAATCAATACATTAATATAAATTCATTTTTCCGTTTAACTTATTTAATCTTCTATTTGTATAATATTCAACTTATAAGTTATTTCTACTCGTTTTTTTTTTTTTTTTTTTTTTTTTTTAATTTATTAATTTATGCTAAATTAAAATGGGATAGCATGATTTGATATGATTGAATAAGGGAAAATTTTAGGGAAAAAACCTGGCATTCGATCACACATTGGTCCGACACAAGTGTATGGTACAACATCCTTCAGGAAAACTGAACCGGAGGGCTTTGAATCACCCTGAAATTAGAAACAAAATATGAGATAAGACAGAAGATTAGTAATTAAACTTATGAAATGAATTTTAAATGCAGAATTGAATGAAATGCCCATATACATTCAGAACTTCCATTTTTTTTTTTCTTTTTTTACTGAAGCAATCGGAAAAAGTTGAAAATAAATTATCTAAAAGGAATACAAATTTATCATCATTATCAATGAAATTATCAATGATTACAGAACCTAAAATAATTATATTATTAACATTCATCTAAATATTGATATCCTTATTTTTTTTTAAATAAAAAAGAAAAAATTCATTCACATAAGAACGTTAAACATTTATATTTCAAGATTAATTAAAAATGAAAATGAAAATATTACCGTAAACACTAACCTTTTTATCATACCATACCAATTCGGAATCACTGTATAACACAGCCCAACATTCTTTCCATTTTTTGCCCAGAAAACCTGATTTATAGCGTAATATTTCGCCTTCTTTTAGTTTACGTTGAAAATCGCCCATTTCTGAATAAAAAAAAAAAAAAAAAAAGAAAACGAATTTTATTTTTGATAAAAAACAAATAGGAATGATTACAAATAATAAAATGAATATAAATGATAAGAAATGATAAAAATGCTAACGTTATAATATTAATTTTTGATCAGAAATTTTAATCATTCAAATATAGTTTTTAAAATTATTGTTTTAATCATTCAAGAAAGAAACGACCATAGATGATAAATTAATGATAACAATGATAATATGAAACATAATAGAAATGATAAAGATAAGATTATATATTGAAAAAGTTTTTTCGTTAATTTTATACAATTAAACAATCTTATAATTTAATCATATTATTTCTTAAAATAATAAAAATATCAAACAGATATGAAAATTAGAAATTTTTCAGATCAAACAAAGTATTCCGGAAAAGAAGCGCTAATAGCAGTAAAAAGGTGTAAAATAAAGTTTTGCAATCAATTGTGTTATGTTTTCAACAAATATTTCTAATGCTTCTTCTACTCACTCTGTCACCATATCCGGTTGCTTGGAGAATCCGATCGATTTTTAAATTTTCCAGCATTTTGCGCTGACTGAAGAGAAACAGAGGGACAGAGAGAGAGAGAAAGGGGGACAGTGGTGGGGAGAGAGGAGAAAGAGAGAGGACAGGAAGAGACATGTCCTAAAATTCTATCCAGCAACATTAGTGATAAGAAGATGAGGAAATTTAATTGATTAATTGATCGATTGACTGATTGACTGATTGATTGATTAAATGATAAGTTAATAATCAATAACTGAATTTGCACTGACAAGGTCTCAACAACAATTCATATTCATGTTACAATTAATAAAATTAAAATTGTTTGTGATCTTTATTGCATAATTAACAGTGCATCAATTAATTAAGTTATTAATGAAATGAAAAAGATTAGTGATATGGGATATGATAAAGATATTTGAAAGAGAAACTTAAGCTTAATTAAGCCTAAGCTAAGCTGTAGCCGTAAACCTAAGCATAAACTCGAAATGAAGAAATTTACATAAATTGAAAAGATAATATGATAATAATAATGATAACACTTACAATATGAATTTTTAAAGTAAAATGAGGTAGAAATTTTGCAATCGTCCGCCAAACGAACGATAAAACGACTGATTATTTTGTAAATATGAGTTGAACAGAAGTAGAAAACAAATGTTGCACTAATCTTTCTCCACTCTCTCTCTCTCTCTCTTTTATTTTCTTTTAATTTTGGATGATTTCATCACAATTCCAGAAATAATTAGTCATCCATTGATAAATGACGATGACTCATCCTTTCAAATATTTATCATCATATGACGTCATCATATTACAACATTCAATAGCTAAAGTTTATTTACTTTTTTTTTTGAATATTATATAAAATTATCAATGATCTGATGAGCATATGCATGATATTGCAGTGCATGCTATCATATGCATGATATTGCAGTGCATGCTATCATATGCATGATATTGCAGTGCATGCTATCATATGCATGATATTGCAGTGCATGCTATCATATGCATGATATTGCAGTGCATGCTATCATATGCATGATATTGCAATGCATGCTATCATATGCATGATATTGCAGTGTATGCTATCATATGCATGATATTGCAGTGCATGCTATCATATGCATGACACTACAGTGCACATCGGAAAACCGAAAAATTTTTATTACACACTAAGTGTTTAGAATAATGTTAACTCATTGCTATAAACCAATTCGTTATTCCTTTGTTGTATCCCATTCTTTTATCTAAACCTCAAATAGTAAATGTACATTTGTCTTCATTGTAAATGTCAATCTGCTAAGCAAGCCCAACCCACTTTCTACCCTTAAAAATCTTCTCCAATCAATTAATAACAAAGAAACGATCAATGACACAGTCTTCTCTTCCTCCTACTCAACAGTACCACTTATTCCTTCGCTGTTTCAATTATTCTCCTAATGTATCGAATAATCATATTTGGGTCGATCTCGCTTGCAAATAAGAAGCAAAAGGTTCAGTTCAAGTTTCCACAAACTTAAAGTAATTCAAGTGAACTTAACTGATCGAAATCAATTACTCTTCTGACCAAAAAGTTGATTCAAATTCATGACAGTGCATGCTATCATAATTTATCATTGTATTTCTTCATGCACAGATTAATTACATGAAGATAAGTTAATTATTGATAGATTTTTACAATAATTAACTGCAATGATTTGCATTAAATCCGCTAAATAATGAATTGATTGATTATCAGAAATTATTAGAAATCGAAGTACAAATAATTGTGAGCAAATTCTTTCATAACTAATATTAATTGTTAAATAGCACAAAGTATTGTTGATTGCTGAACATTTAAAATAAATCTAAGAATGAAATGATATCAGTAATTAAATTACTCATTTAAAAAAAAAAAAAAAAAAAAAATTATTCAAATCTTCCTTCCATTCAATGTCAATCAATGAACAATTCCCTGAATGGATTGTCTCTGCATCTGATTGAAAAAGTTAAATCAAAATAAATAAACAAAAAATTAAAAAATGAATAACTGATAACAAAATCAGATATCACTATAGCTTTTTGTTGTTACAACTGAATGAGATATAACGGAATAAGAAAAAAAAGACATTATCTTCAGCTAAATATTAATCAAAACAAAAATGCGCAATTCTTTGAGAGACAATAACGCCTCATATCAATTTAATTACAAATTTAACAAAAAATCATTGCCTCATTCGTCATATCATCTAATTATTTCAATTTTTCAGTTTTTTTTTTTTTTTCGCAGAAAACAATAAAGGAAATTTCTTTATTTTTTCAATTCTCAAATATTAAAAGTATGATGAATTTTCATATGGAATGTAAACATTTGTGAAGAAATTTGTTACTTTAAAATGCACACCTGCAATCGCTATTATAATTTCATATATTTTTGATTTATGTGTTTTTGAAATTTCTTTTATTCATCCTAATTTGATTTTATTTCTAAATTTTTTATGCAAGCATTTTTTTTTTCCAATTACCTACGTCAAAAGCTAGGAGAAAAAGTTACTGGTTAATAAACCCAATTATATTTTCTTGGAATCTAATACTGATTTGTAAAATCTACAAATTTTATAAAGATTTACAAATTTTCAGTTGTTTAATTGCAAAGTAAAATTCATGTAAAAATGATATTGAGAATTTAAATTTCACCATGAATGAAGAAAAGCTTGGAATTAATTATTTAAAAAAAAAAAAAAAGAAATTATGAAATGAGATGGTAATTAAATTATTTAAGATCTGTTAACATAAAAACGTATTTTTCAATTTTTCAAAATCTCTTTTACAATTTAATAAAGATATCTCAATTTCAGTTCTTCAATATTCATTGCACGTGTTTTTTACTAATTGTAAAATTAAAATATTCACTGAAAACAATTCATTATAAGATTGTTGACAAACAGTTGTCACACGAAAATCAAATCACCCACTTAATGAATCTCGTTTTTTTTTTCCGTATCCGTTTATAATACTTTTCCTTCCACCCTAATTGCCTTTCTGTTATTCCATTATAGGAATGCAGTCAAATAATTAAATTAAAATAAAAAAAAAAAAGCATGAATAGTTCAATATAAAATTTCAGTATAAAAAGGAATGATTTTTAACTGTTTGATATTTTACAAATTTCATTATTTCCATATTCCTTTCATGTTTTATAACATTTCCGGAAACTTCTTCGCCAGATTCCGTTCAGAAATATCCTTTTTGCTCCACTTTTTCTTATGATCCTTTCCTGACCAAATGTTTCTGTACAAACGGAAATTCGTTAAATATATCCTTTAAAACCCGAAGATTCTGTTCAAGGAAAATCGTTAGGAATTATTTTTTTTTACGAATATAATTGATCAAATACTGAATACGAAGCGACTAATCGATGTTGTAAAATGTAATTTCAGAATTCAACAGAATTTCACTTATTGATTTCAAATATGGCTAACGGATTCCTATATATGTTCCTTATATTGTGTGGTGCTGGTGTCGGTATGTTTCTTTTGTTCTTCACTTCAACCCTTTGCAATTTTTGTAGATCAAACAAATTGAATTGGTATTAATTTCAGTTAGAGCCTCTAACGTAGAGTGCAAATTTTCTGATTCAGTTGCAACTGAAATGGCCAAAGCACAAACACACGAATGTATGTTAATATAATGATAAGTTGATTAATTAATAAAGCTTGATTTTAATTAATTACTTACTCAAAAAAATAAATAAAATTGTTAATGTAAAATAGTTTTAAAAATATTTCTTAGCTTTATTTGTGATAAAATTTGATAAAATTATTATCACAATCACATTGCAGCAACACTAACAAATTGTGGCGCAAGCGCAATGTGCAACGAAGGACTAACTACTTTGAAAGAGAATTCGATGCTTTTCATGAGAAACTCTCTTCATTTCATGAAACATATTTAAATATCAGTGATATTTATGTTATCAATTCTAAGGATTGCTAATCATTTTGAATGTGAAATAATAATAAATTTTAATAATTATATTTAATCTTTGTGTAACATTTTTAAATTGTCCATCTAACACTGATAATTTGATAAGTGTTGCTGGATATAGTATTGAAAAGAAGAAATAGTTTTCAGATCAAATGAGCAAATATTAAAAGATTGATTAATTCAAAATATAAAGAGCAAAATCGATTGCATAGTTTTGAAATAGTAATTTAAAAGAAAAAAAATAGTAACTAGAAGTTATTTAAAGTTTTAATAAAGCGTACTTTAGTATTCTGTAAACTATAATTGCTTACAAATTATGCAAATTATCGTTTACAATAAATTTACAATATGCCAATTACAAATTTGATAAATATGAAATAACTGTTGTGAAATGATAATTCATTTGATTGTTCTAAATTGAATAAGAAAATCAAAAAGTTATGAAAAGGTGCCAACCATCAGAGTAACTTAACTGTATTTTTTTGAAATTTAATATTATTTTATAAATTTAATTTACGATTTAGTGCATATTTGTTAGATATCAGATTTCTCATTTTGAAATGTCCACGAAAAAATACAAAATGAATTTGAATGTCCAATGCTTACCTAAAATTTTTTGATAGAATTGAAAAATCTTTTCGTACTTGAAATAAAAAGACTTTCACTCATGACGGATTATTCGTTTTTCACAGATGTCGCATAGTAAAATTCAACGATTGACATTTATGACCTCAAAAATTCCTTCTTTATCAAAATCAAAAAAAAAAAAAAAAATGAAATTCAATAATTTGCATAAAAATCAATATAAAATAAATATTAGTAACACAAGAAGCGAAAAAAGAAACACTTGAAAGTTATCAAAATTTCGCTTTAATTTCAAATTTAAACTAGTTAAAAAACAAAACTGTTGACAATTTAAATAATCATTTTTTTTCAGGGATTAATTATTATTGAATGTAAAATTATTCAATAAAAATTATTCATTATAAGATTGCTGATAAATAGCTCTCACAGGAAAATAAAATCACCCACTTAATAAAATCTCGTTTTTTTTTTCTTTGTTTTATTATTTTCTTTCAACTAGTCCTATTCTATTCGCTTTTCTTCTTTTCCATTTTAAGAATACAATCAATTAATTTAATTCTAAGACAAAAAACATAAATATTTTACTATAAAAAGGAATAATTTTTTTGATATTTTACAAATTTCATTTTCGGAAATTTCTTCGTTAAATTCCGTTTACAAATATCCTTTGCGCCACTTCTTATGATCCTTTCCTGACCACACCAAATGCTTTCGTACAAACGATGCGGAAATTCGTTAAGTAAATCCTTTACAACCCGAAAATTCTGTCCAAGGAAAATCGTTAGGAATTATTTTATTTTACGAATATAATTGATCAAATACTGAATACGAAGCGACTAATCGATGTTGTAAAATGTAATTTCAGAATTCAACAAAATTTCACTTATTGATTTCAAATATGGCTAAGGGATTCCTATATATTTCCCTCATATTGTGCGCTCCTAACGGTATGTTGGAATTAATTTCAGCTGCAGGCTCCAACATAGATGGCAAATTTGACCTTTTGTGGGACAATGATCGACCAATTTCCGATTTAGTTGCAACTGAAATGGCCAAAGCACAAACACACGAATGTATGTTAATATAATGATAAGTTGATTAATTAATAAAGCTTGATTTTAATAAATTACTTACTCAAAAAAATAAACAAAATTGTTAATGTAAAATAGTTTTAAAAATATTTCTTAGCTTTATTTGTGATAAAATTTGATAAAATTATTATCACAATCACATTGCAGCAACACTAACAAATTGTGGCGCAAGCGCAATGTGCAACGAAGGACTAACTACTTTGGAAGAGAATTCGATGCTTTTCATGAGAAACTCTCTTCATTTCATGAAACATATTTAAATATCAGTGATATTTATGTTATCAATTCTAAGGATTGTTAATCATTTTGAATGTGAAATAATAATAAATTTTAATAATTATGTTTAATTTTTGTGTAACATTTTTAAATTGTCCATCTAACACTGATAATTTGATAAGTGTTGCTGGATATAGTATTGAAAAGAAGAAATAGTTTTCAGATCAAATGAGCAAATATTAAAAGATTGATTAATTCAAAATATAAAGAGCAAAATCGATTGCATAGTTTTGAAATAGTAATTTAAAAGAAAAAAAATAGTAACTAGAAGTTATTTAAAGTTTTAATAAAGCGTACTTTAGTATTCTGTAAACTATAATTGCTTACAAATTATGCAAATTATCGTTTACAATAAATTTACAATATGCCAATTACAAATTTGATAAATATGAAATAACTGTTGTGAAATGATAATTCATTTGATTGTTCTAAATTGAATAAGAAAATCAAAAAGTTATGAAAAGGTGCCAACCATCAGAGTAACTTAACTGTATTTTTTTGAAATTTAATATTATTTTATAAATTTAATTTACGATTTAGTGCATATTTGTTAGATATCAGATTTCTCATTTTGAAATGTCCACGAAAAAATACAAAATGAATTTGAATGTCCAATGCTTACCTAAAATTTTTTGATAGAATTGAAAAATCTTTTCGTACTTGAAATAAAAAGACTTTCACTCATGACGGATTATTCGTTTTTCACAGATGTCGCATAGTAAAATTCAACGATTGACATTTATGACCTCAAAAATTCCTTCTTTATCAAAATCAAAAAAAAAAAAAAAAATGAAATTCAATAATTTGCATAAAACTCAATATAAAATAAATATTAGTAACACAAGAAGCGAAAAAAGAAACACTTGAAAGTTATCAAAATTTCGCTTTAATTTCAAATTTAAATTAGTTAAAAAACAAAACTGTTGACAATTTAAATAATCATTTTTTTTCAGGGATTAATTATTATTGAATGTAAAATTATTCAATAAAAATTATTCATTATAAGATTGCTGATAAATAGCTCTCACAGGAAAATAAAATCACCCACTTAATAAAATCTCGTTTTTTTTTTCTTTGTTTTATTATTTTCTTTCAACTAGTCCTATTCTATTCGCTTTTCTTCTTTTCCATTTTAAGAATACAATCAATTAATTTAATTCTAAAACAAAAAACATAAATATTTTACTATAAAAAGGAATAATTTTTTTGATATTTTACAAATTTCATTTTCGGAAACTTCTTCGTTAGATTCCGTTTACAATATACTTTGCGCCACTTCGTATGATTCTTTCCTGACCACACCAAATGCTTTCGTACAAACGATGCGGAAATTCGTTAAGTAAATCCTTTACAACCCGAAAATTCTGTCCAAGGAAAATCGTTAGGAATTATTTTATTTTACGAATATAATTGATCAAATACTGAATACGAAGCGACTAATCGATGTTGTAAAATGTAATTTCAGAATTCAACAAAATTTCACTTATTGATTTCAAATATGGCTAAGGGATTCCTATATATTTCCCTCATATTGTGCGCTCCTAACGGTATGTTGGAATTAATTTCAGCTGCAGGCTCCAACATAGATGGCAAATTTGACCTTTTGTGGGACAATGATCGACCAATTTCCGATTTAGTTGCAACTGAAATGGCCAAAGCACAAACACACGAATGTATGTTAATATAATGATAAGTTGATTAATTAATAAAGCTTGATTTTAATTAATTACTTACTCAAAAAAATAAACAAAATTGTTAATGTAAAATAGTTTTAAAAATATTTCTTAGCTTTATTTGTGATAAAATTTGATAAAATTATTATCACAATCACATTGCAGCAACACTAACAAATTGTGGCGCAAGCGCAATGTGCAACGAAGGACTAACTACTTTGGAAGAGAATTCGATGCTTTTCATGAGAAACTCTCTTCATTTCATGAAACATATTTAAATATCAGTGATATTTATGTTATCAATTCTAAGGATTGTTAATCATTTTGAATGTGAAATAATAATAAATTTTAATAATTATGTTTAATTTTTGTGTAACATTTTTAAATTGTCCATCTAACACTGATAATTTGATAAGTGTTGTTGGATATAGTATTGAAAAGAAGAAATAGTTTTCAGATCAAATGAGCAAATATTAAAAGATTGATTAATTCAACTCAAAAAAATAGTAATTAGAATTTAAAGTAATTAGAAAACTAGTAAATAGAATTTAAATTAATTCAATTTAAAAAAAAATAGTAATTAGAAATAATTTAAAGTTTTAATAAAGCTTATCATTATAAAATGAATTAATTCAAATCAAAGATCGCTTTCTCAGTATTCTGTAAACTATAACTTACTTATAAATTATGTAACTTATCGTTTACTATGAATTTACAATATGTTAATTACAAGTTTAGTTTTCATATAAAAAATTTTTATACAAGAAAAAGTTTGATAAATATGATAATAACTGTTGTGAAATGGTAATTTATCTGATTGTCCTAAATTGAATAAGAAAGTCAGTAGAATTTTAAATCAGAAAATTATGAGAAAGCTCTATCTATTAGTTCAATTTAACTGTATTTTTTTGAAATTCAATATTAATTTATAAATTACATTTACGATTTAGTTCATATTTGTTAGATATCAGATTTCTCATTTTGAAATGTCCACGAAAAATTATAAAATGAATTTGAATGTCCAATGCTTTTCTAAAAATTTTTTTGACAGAATTGAAAAATCTTTTCGTACTTAAATAAAAAAACTTTCACTCATGACCCATTTTTTTTTCCACAGATGTCCCATAGTAATATTCAATGACTTATGACCTCAAAAATTCCTTCGTTGTCAAAATCAAAAATTCAATAATTTCAAAAATTGCATAAAACTCTATATAAGCATTAGTAGTACAAAAAGCAAGAAAAGAATCATTTGAAAATTATCAAAATTTCTTTAAAAAAGAAAACTGTTGACATTTCAAATATTTATTTTTTTTTTCTGGATTTAATTTTCATTGAATTTAAAATTAAATATTACCAAAAATTTTCCATTATAAGATTGTTGACAAACAGTTGTCACACGAAAATCAAGTCACCCACTTAATGAATCTCGTTTTTTTTTCCGTATCCGTTTATAATACTTTTCCTTCCACCCTAATTGCCTTTCTGTTATTCCATTATAGGAATGCAGTCAAATAATTAAATTAAAATAAAAAAAAAAAGCATGAATAGTTCAATATAAAATTTCAGTATAAAAAGGAATGATTTTTAACTGTTTGATATTTTACAAATTTCATTATTTCCATATTCCTTTCATGTTTTATAACATTTCCGGAAACTTCTTCGCCAGATTCCGTTCAGAAATATCCTTTTTGCTCCACTTTTTCTTATGATCCTTTCCTGACCAAATGTTTCTGTACAAACGGAAATTCGTTAAATATATCCTTTAAAACCCGAAGATTCTGTTCAAGGAAAATCGTTAGGAATTATTTTATTTTACGAATATAATTGATCAAATACTGAATACGAAGCGACTAATCGATGTTGTAAAATGTAATTTCAGAATTCAACAAAATTTCACTTATTGATTTCAAATATGGCTAACGGATTCCTATATATGTTCCTTATATTGTGTGGTGCTGGTGTCGGTATGTTTCTTTTGTTCTTCACTTCAACCCTTTGCAATTTTTGTAGATCAAACAAATTGATTTGGTATTAATTTCAGTTAGAGCCTCTAACGTAGACTGCAAATTTTCCGATTCAGTTGCAACTGAAATGGCCAAAGCACAAACACACGAATGTATGTTAATATAATGATAAGTTGATTAATTAATAAAGCTTGATTTTAATTAATTACTTAATCAAAAAAATAAATAAAATTGTTAATGTAAAATAGCGTTAAAAATATTTTTCCAACTTTCCATTAGCTTTATTTGTGATAAAATTTGATAAAATTATTATCACAATGACATTGCAGCAACACTAACAAATTGTGGCGCAAGCGCAATGTGCAACGAAGGACTAACTACTTTGGAAGAGAATTCGATGCTTTTCATGAGAAACTCTCTTCATTTCATGAAACATATTTAAATATCAGTGATATTTATGTTATCAATTCTAAGGATTGTTAATCATTTTGAATGTGAAATAATAATAAATTTTAATAATTATGTTTAATTTTTGTGTAACATTTTTAAATTGTCCATCTAACACTGATAATTTGATAAGTGTTGCTGGATATAGTATTGAAAAGAAGAAATAGTTTTCAGATCAAATGAGCAAACATTAAAAGATTGATTAATTCAATTAATTCAATTTAAAAAAAATAATTAGAAGTAATTTAAAGTTGTAATAAAGTATATCATTATAAAATGAAATAATTCAAGTCAGAATTGATGTCGTTTTTTAGCATTCTGTAAACTATAACTTACTTATAAATTATGCAACTTATCGTTTACTATGAATTTACAATATGTCAATTACAAGTTTATTTTCATATAAAAAATTTTTATATGGGAAAAAATCTGTGAATATGAAAATAACTGTTGTGAAATGATAATTCATTTGATTGTTCTAAATTGAATAAGAAAGTCAGTAAATTTTTAAATCAAAAAATTATGAAAAGGTGCTGACCATCAGTGTAATTTAACTGTATTTTTTTGAAATTTAATACCAATTTATAAATTGAATTTACAGTTTAGTGCATATTTGCTAGTTTTTAGATTTCTCTTTGAAATTTATTAGTTAAAAAAAAAAAAAAAAAAACTACTCACAATTTTCCAAATTCTCTATCGTACTTGGATAAAAAAAACTTTCGCTTATGAATCAAATGACCTTTTTTCTTTACAAAGACTATCACTTACGACCTTAAAAATTCCTTCGCTATCAGAAAAAAAAAAAATAGAAATTCCAATGTTTTGCATAAATTTCAATATAGAATAAAAAGTTATAGAAAAATAAGTAAAAAAAGAATAATTTGAAATTTTTCAAAATTTTGCTTCAACTTCAATTTTAATCTTTTAACAAAAAGAAGATGCTGTTGAAATTTTCACTTAATTTATCTATTTTTGGATTATCCAAAATTTTATCCAAAATTTTTATTGATTATAAAACTAAATATTTACTAAAAAAATATTTGATTAGAAAATTGTTGACAAATGACTGTCGCTGGAAAATCAAATCACCCATTTAATGAAATCTCGTTTTTTTTTTTCCGTTTCCGTTTATAATACTTTTTTTTTTTTTTCAACTGGTCATTCAATTCTATTCGCTCTCTTCTTTTCCATTATAGGAATGCAATCAAATAATTAAATTTAAAGACAAAAGACATGAATGATTCACTGTAAAATGTTAACTATAAAAAGAAATGATTTTTAACTTTTTGATATTTTACAAATTTCATTATTTTCATTTTTCCTTCCATGTTTTATAACATTTCCGGAAACTTTTTCGTTAGATTCCGTTTACAAATATCCTTTGCGCCACTTTTTCTTATGATCCTTTCCTGACCACACCAAATGCTTTCGTACAAACGATCCGGAAATTCGTTAATTAAATCCTTTAAAACCCTAAGATTCTGTTCAAGGAAAATCTTCAAAAATTAATTTTTTTTTTTTTTTTTTACGAATATAATTGAACAAATAAAGAGACTAATCGATATTATAAAATGTAATTTCAGAATTCAACAAAATTTCACTTATTGATTTCAAATATGGCAAAGGGATTTCTATATATTTTCCTTTTATTATGTGGTTTTGCTGCTGGTCGTATGTTTTTGATCTCCTTCACTTCAATTATTGTTATTTTTGCAATGAGAAGTGCAATAAAATTGAATTGGAATCAATTTCAGGTATGGCTTTATCACAAATTGTTAATTCGACAAATTGTAAGGTAATTGGCGACTAATTATCGATCTAATTGGCTATTTAAATTGCAGAAGCACAAATAGAAGGTTGTATATTTGCATAATAATAAATTAATTTAGTAGTTATACTAATACTAATTAATTACTTACTTAAAAGAAAAAAGAGAAAAGGAAAAATTTAGTTTGTAATTTTAAACTTTATGGTATTAAATAGGGTTGGAAACGTTATTTTCTTTAAACTTTTTTTTTTCTGTTAGCTGTCTTTTTAAGCAAAGAAGTAAATTTGTATTATCATTTCTATTCATTGATAAAAATTAAAATTATCACAATGACTGCAGCAACATTAGCAAATTGTGACGCAAACGAAATTTGAAACGGAAGAATAACTGATTGATTGATTGATTGATTTGGATGAGAATTGGATGCTTTTCGTACGAAACATTTTTCACTTCATAAAACATTTTTAAATATCAGTGATATTTATGTTAGTAATACTAAAGTTGTTAATCATTTAGAATGTGAAGTAATAATATGAAATAAATTTTAATAATTTTGTGTGTAACATTTTTAAATTATCTATCTAACACTGATAAATTGATAAGTGTTGTTGGATGGAATAATGAAAAGAAGAAATAGTTTTCAAATCAAATGAGCAAATATTAAAAGATTGATTAATTCAAAATATAAAGAGCAAAATTGATTGCATAGCTTTGAAATGATTTTAAGTATTGGAAAAGTGATTAGAACTGGCTATATTTTATTTAAATTAAAATGTTTAAAGTTATAACAATTTAATTAATTGATTGATCGGAGCTAAATTTCTCATAACTGCATGAGAACGTCGAGAAATTAAATATTAATTATGTTACAATTTTTTAATATTTGAAGGTGTGAAAATTGAAATCAATTGGGATAAGTAAATAAAATGATTATGGAAAGAAAAAAAAAAGTATTTCATTTGAAATAATATGAATTGTTAATTTAGAATTGAGAAAATGAAATACCTCTGAAAAATGCCTTTCCGTTTATTTGAAATAATAACAACTCAATTAAATCATATGTGATAATTTGCAGAACTCTTTTTTTTTAAAAAAAAAAAAAACTAAACTTTCGTAGAAATTGTCTCGCATTCTATTTTATTTGCAAGATAATATTCTTTTGAATTTCACTTCTTCTAGAGATATTTTTTTATTTATTAAAAATTTTTTTTAAATTAGTTTGAAAGTAAAAGTTGAGTTTGCACTACAGTTGAGTAGGAATTTAACACATTTTTTGCTCTCTTTTGCGTTTTTCATATTTTGTATGCGACTATGACAATACCGTGAATAGTCTTTGACGTATTCAGACGTGAATGACGTAATATTGCTTAAGTCAACCATTCATTCAGGTTGTTTTCAACTTCCTGTTGAAGTGGTATACGTGATCGTAAGCTGTGAACTGTGCGCAAAAGTCCAGCAAAAGACGTTTGCCATTATTTTAGTCTTATCAATGTTTATCTAATGCTACTTTCCAGACTACATGATGATCTTGTCATCCACACAATTTTTGTCAATCAAATGTCAAAGGTCAAGATATAATTTGTCTTTTTCAGGGTGAACTTAGAGAGCTGACGCATATATAATGAAAAAAATAGCATATTGATTTGCAGAATATTGTGATCAGAATGACCTCTTAACAAATTTATTAGTTTGGAAGCGGTGAATTTCTAATGATGAAATCAATTCATGAATGATAACTTTGGGTTTTGAATTTACCTGGTCCTTTTACCTGGTAGAGTATGTAACCTGGTTATGACTGTATCTCAATGCTTTGTCACAGAGATGAATTTCAGTGAGGTCAACAAAATCAATGTTTAATTATAATAATTAATAGGTGAATTATGATGCTTGGGATATCAAATATTTGTAGAATCAAGCATGATTCCCGATATTTCAAAATATCTAAACCTACTTTTGGAGGTAAGTTTTTGTCTTTGTTTATTTATTTTATTTTTTTTTTTAATTCTTTATTTTGTTTTTATTCGATCGTAGCAGACGATAGTAGTTACTAGCAGTAGCTAATCAACTAGATAAAAATGTGAAAAAGGGCTTTGTTTTTTTTTTAGGCCACTTTTTTTTAGGTCTCTTATCGTATGGAACAGTTACATATATTGGCCATAACTTTCAATTTACCTTTTCACTCGTTATTTTGCTTCTTGTCTCCTAATAAAAGGCCTAGGAAAAGCAAATATATCCTTCTGGCCTGCACAACTCTTTCTTAGATAAGACACAGTTAGTCTCATATTTTATTCATGAAGCTAATTCATCAAGTCTAGCTAGCCTAAAAAGCCTAGTAAACATAGGCCTGTTTGAAATATCATTCATTTGGATTTTTTTTTTTCTCAGTTAAATGAATTTCATCGTTATATTTAGAGCTATTAGAGAATTATCTTTCGTCTCCTCGGATGGCTTTTCGAAGAAAGGCTAATCTCCCTAAATATACTTTGTTTATTTTTTTAATTGAGCCTATCTAGCATAAAAGACTTTTATCAATAACAAAAATATTTGTAAACAACAAATATGTTATTAAAAAAAAAAAAAAAAAAAATTTTAATACGATATTATTAAAATTGCATTTTGTGCAAATAATTTAATTAAATAAATAAAATGGTCGAAGATAGAAATGTTAAAATTATTGGTATTTAAATGAAATAAAATCAAATCTTTTGTCAAATTTTTAATTTATTTCATTAAAAAAAGCAAAACAATATTAATATTTAGTGTTTTATTATAGAAGTAAATTTAATTACTTTTTCTTTTTCTTTTTTCTTGACTTTCATGAATTGTAGTAATTAATGATAATTAATTTATAAGAATAACATGAATCATTCCTCGCATTAATAATATATATACGAACATTTTTTTTTTTTTTTAAAAAAAAAAGAAGCAATCATTAATTGTAGTCATTAAAATATATTCTAATAACAATAACAATAATAAATAGCAACAACAATAACAATAACACTATTAGTAGTGAAACATACAAAAAATTAGTGTGATTAATTATTATTATGTAATTATAAACTCAAATGGATAATTTGTTTGTTAATTATAAATTAGTATAAACAAATTTTAAAAAAATTTTAATACAAATTTAAATTTAAATTTTAAAATCATTATTCTTCGTATTGTTTGATCGATGATCGAATATCTTTGAATGTTACCGTTTTTGCACTTCGCAATATTTTTTGTAATGCTTCTCGACGATCAGATACATATCGATGAGTCAATACAAGGAGATATAAATTTGTTCTATAATCAGAAATAATTAGAAATTAATTTTTTTTTTCTTTTAAAGATACTATAATATACTTTAAATACGATAATTTTTTTTTTTAATTTAATTCTTAAAAAAATGATTTGCTAACAAAGTAAAAAAGCATCAAAAAAAGCCTGGTGATAATATAATATTAATTTAAATCGAAAAGTATTAATTAAAATCAAAAAAAAAATATTAATTAAAATCAAAAACATTAATTTAAATCGAAAAATTCAAATAAAAAAAAAAAAAAAAACGAAAAATGATCGAATTACAAGAATAATATTATGACAAAGAGATCCATTTCCATTTTTTTTTTTTACTAAGCAAATTTGATTTATTTATTGTAATTTCGAATAATCAACAGCGCATTTCTTTGATTTTTTTTTTTATTTGACAGTTTTGAAATTTTAATTTTTTTTTTAAAAAAAAAAAAAGAAAGAAAATAAATGATTTGCTAACGAAGTAAAAAAGCAGAAAAATGAAGCAACAAGTGGTGCTATCCAGATGACATTTGAACCGATAAAATTCATTGTTATAATGCATAACAGACTAAATGTGTAGAATCCCACTGATATGATAAGTATGATAAGCTGAGGGTATAGCAATTCTGGTCGAATAAACTAAAATGACAATAGGAGTTTAAAATTTTTGAGTTTAAAAAATAAAACTTTTAGTTTAAAATTTACAAATTGACTTTTAGTTTAAAATTTACTCGAAAACTTATCGGATCACACTTCAATTTGATAAATTTATTCTTAGGATTGTATTTAAAAAAGTATGCTTGTTATATATAGTGAAAAATAATAATAAATCAAAATTTATGTTTGACTAAAAATTGGACTAAAAAAAAAACTAAAATTGTTAAAGTCAAAGGATTTATGCATTATCTATCAATTTAGGAATGAATTGAAAGAAAAAAATACTCTAAAAAAATTTCTTTTTCAAATTAATTATATTGAATTGATTTTGCTTTTTTTTTTTTTTTTTTTAAATGAATTGTTTGTGAGTAATATTAATTATATGTCAATAAATTTGCATAAATAAAAAGTAAGCTTACTTGTGTAGCTAAAATGCTAGTAATAATGGTAATTATATGGATAATATGTATAGCAATCCATAAAGCTATAGCTATTCGATAAAGTAATAAGTAATGATTAGCTCTTACTCGTGCATAATGCTAAAAAGAAAAGTTTTAAAATGAAAGAAATTAATTATTTTTCATTAGTATTATATTTATGTTACAATCAAAAAAGAGTGCAATTTACTGTTAAAAATTTTAATTTAAATTAACTAATAAAATTTACATGAAAAAACTGATTGTATAATGAAGTTTTACGATGAAGGCTTGGATTAATTAATAAAATAACACCAATTAAAATTGCTGCTACAGTGATAAGTCCAGTGATCGGTTCATGGCATAACAATAATGTCTACAATTAATTTCTTATAATCATTTCAAATTAATTCTTTCATTTTTCTTATCAATTAATTTATTGACATTCTTTTTGTCAATTAAATAAAAATATATTTGATAAAATTTTGCTTTATTTATTTCTAATTAATTAAGTAAATAAAAGTGATTACTAGTAAAATGCAAGCAAATAAATTGTTAAAATATATTAATAGTATTCATTTAATTTCAATTTAATCTTTTATTTTTCTTGAAATAAATCATTTAATTTGAGTTTAATCGTTTTTAAAATAAACCATTTAATTTGAATTTTAATCTTTTTTTTAAAAAATAAATCATTACTGAAAATTTTGAGTTGCATTATTAATTCATTCTTTATTAAAGTAGTAAATAAACAAACAAACAAACAAATGAAATGAATGATAAAATGATAAAAATGATAAGAAAAAAAAAAAAAAAGAAAAAAAACCTGAACATGAATTCCGCAACGTCTATGATAATTAGCATCAGTAAAATGAGCTGGCAATATAGTATAACTACACATTATTCATAATAACATTTAACAAATAAAAGATGAAATTGAAGAAAGAGAATGATGAAAATAGATGTAAAAGCTAATATTTCAATTGCTCTGAACAACTGTTTCAAATGTTTAAATTTTCTTCAATATTTTCTTTTCAAAAAAAAAAAAAAAAAAATATTACAATCAATAAAAAAAAATAAAATAATACAAAATTTCTTTTTTCTCTTTTCTTATCAATATTTCAATTACTGTTACTTTGTGAATATTTTAAAATGTAACAATTTTTACAAAAAAAAAAAAAAAAGGAACAAAAAATTTTTTAAACAATTTTTATTTTATACGATATAAAGCAATTAGCTATGTTCTATGTTTATTGTATTCTAATTTATCAACTAAATTAGAATTGTATTTTAGATTATCAAAATTGCATACTTTTATCAACAAAATTTACAAAATGAATTTTGTTGATTTATTTTTAGAATAATTGCTAATAAAAAGTAGAAAGAGTAAAATAAATAATAACAATTAGAAAGTATAAAATTCTAAAACTTTGTTTTTTTTTTTTTTATTTTTTGTTTTATTTTTATAAAAGATTAGAATAATTTGTTGTTTGTGGAAAATTTGATTGAAATGATCTAATTATGGTACCATGTAGTAGGACAAAAAAGATTTATTATTGATGAATTCTGCATTTGATGAGATGCATTTAGTTCTGCAAGTAGTATAATTATTAAAATTATCAAAATGTGATTAAAAAAGCAAATATCATTTTGATTATTATATTTTAAACTACTAATTGTAAATTTTGGAAATTAGAAGAATGATTATATAATATCGTAAGATCTTTTTATTTATTAAATAAACGATAAATTATCAATTATATGTACAAATAAAAATATTTTTAACTGATAAAATACAAACAATCAAAGTATGATAAGAAAAATGAATAGAAAGCACATTAATTATCAGATATATCACTGTAGTAGCACTTTAAAAAAGAAAAAATAAAGTTTATCAGAATTCTTTGATTTCTGAAATTGTTTCATTATCCATTTCCTTTTTTTTTTTTTCTTTTTTAAACTAAAATGAAAATTAATGAATTCAATTATTATATGTAAAAGTTTAGAGATTTAATTCAATTTATTAAAATTTGAGAAAAAAAAAATAAAAGACATGGCAGTTAAGCATAATTATTAATAATACAATTAAAGATTTAATACAAACATTCTTTATATAAAGTATCTCGGAATAAATGATCTAATTAAAAAAAATTTTTTTTTTTGTTTGTGTGTGTGTGTGTGATCCATCATTGTCAAATATAACAATAAATATTTCAAAAATTTTGATTTGAATTAAAAATTTAGAATCAATTTTGATAGATATATATCATGAAAAGATATTAAAATTAGTAACTAATTATTATCAATAAACTAATTATTAACTGTTATCACTAACAATGTATTTGTTTATTAGATATCACAGATCAGAATAAATTCATAAATTATTTATTAATCATTTTGTTAAACAACTACGAATGCTATCATTTGCTCTGATAATACGGATGGAAATTTTTGGCTTATTGTTGCATGATTTGACTTTTTTTTCATTGCAAATTCTATTTCAATTTTAGTTGCTTCAGTAAAGAAAACATTCGAAGTGATAAATTGTTTACAATTCATTTGTTTATTTATATTTTCTGTACGATTATTCTCCATAAAATTAGTATTTATACTTTTTGCTGTTGTTATATTTGTTAAATTTAAATATTTTTCCTCGTTCTTGCTTAAATCAGATTTTCCAGCAAAACGAACACTTTGTTTACGAATAACTTTTGTTGTTACACATGAATCTGACATTATGTTTTCCGGAATGGATAAAGTTTTCTGAAATATTATCACTGATAAATGTTATATTTATAAAGAGATGAAAAAAAAAAAAAATTAAAGATTGTTAATTCAAAGAAAAAATTATTTTTTCCTCTCTTTTTTTCTGCTTTGAAATTCTAAAATTTGTTTCAATTCACAGTTCAGATAATTAATTTTTGATGTATTGTTTAAAAACAAAAAAAAAAAACAAACAAACAAACAAACAAACAAATAAAAATTTATGGTTGTTTTCAAATTAATAAGAAATAACTGAACTATAATAAATGAATCATAAATTTTTTTACGGAAAATTTCTTAAATTTTTTTTTGCGGCAAATTTCTTATATTTCTTACTTTCATCAATTAACAATTTTGACAAATATCATTTATACTTACGCTTAATTTGACGTTTTTTAAATCATCATTTTTCATTTTTAAACTTCTAAAACTACTTCGCGGTGTTTCAATGTTGCTTTTTGATAGAAAACTGGAACGAGTAGAACAAGTAGATTTTCGTCTTTGATAAAACAAATCAATTATATGATTTTCCAATCGTACTGTCTAAAAAAAAAAGTAAAATATTAGTAAAATATTAATTTTATCTTTGAATTTAAGAAAAAAAAGACTATCAATTACCTTGGCCAAGTTACTCATCAAATAAGGAGTAATTAAATTATAATAGGAATAAAAATTAAACCATAAAAATATTACTGATTGATAGAAGTAATTAAAAGTAATTAATTAAATATATTTCATTTTCATCATTGTATTCACTTCTTTTCACTTTTGATGAACTTACTTCATTTTATTTCAGTTTTTTTTTTTTTTTTTTTGAAATTACGTTTGCTTCTTTTTTTTTTTTTTCTAATTACTTTATAAAGTATTGTATTTTGGTATTTAGAACTTATACTACAGGTAAATAACTTATAAATCAATTACTAAATTCTTCAATAAAATCAATACTAATATATAAATTAAAATTTAGTGAGAAAAAAAAAAGAAATAAAAAAATACGAAAATCTTTATTAAATACATTTCCGTTGATGAAAGTGATATGAAGAAAAAAAAAACATACCTTATCAATAGATTGTGCATATTCAATCTCATTTAGTACTTCAAAATTGAAATTATCACTATCATCTAGTAAATCACGAAATAGTATCACTGTTTCATCATTCTAAAAATGAAAAACAAAGTAATTTATTTGATTAAATATATTAACCAATTAAACATTAAAAAAAACAAACTAACAAAAAAAAAAAAAAAAAAGAAAATTTAATTATCTCTAAAAAATCACTTAACTATAAATGCATTCAATTTAACATTCATTCATTTTTAACATTTCTATTCTAAATTAAATTTAATTTTCCTAATTAATTGATTCACTTTGTTTACACTTTTCAATAATTATGATAGAATTAAAAAATTTGATGTTTATATCATAAATACTGACTAATTTTATCAATCTATTAGTTCATTCATTAGCCAAATTTGAAATTCCATTTATTAATACTAAAATTACTTTGAAATTAATAAAATCAAAAATTAATATTAAATATTTTTAAGGTTTTTTTTATTCTTTTAAATAACTTACAGGTATATCATTGAAAAGAATACATAGCATTGCTAAATCATAAAGAATACGAAGTCTATTTGGATGAGTGGGTCTACGCCATATACGTCGACCCATTAGGAATATTTCCGCATATTCACGTTTAACGTCAATCCATATTCGCTTCTTCTCATCTTTATCACTAATTAACGGTGCTAATCGATAATAGCAAGTGTAAATTGCTGATGCATACCTAAAAAAAAAAAAAAAAAGAAAAAAACTTAAAATTAAAATAAAATAGAAAACTTTCAAATTAATATTAAAAATTTAAAATATAAATGTGAAAAAAAATTGAACCATGCAAGACAATAATATTTTTTGGTAATATTGTTAAGCCGTCGAAGCCATTCCATACAAATTGCTCGTTTCTCATCTGTATCATAATGATCCAAATTTCCATGTTGAAATTTAAATAAATCATTAGCTGACCAATTATTACCCTTTAAATTTTATTAATATTTAGCAAATATTAAATTAATAAAATTTGCATAAATTTGCCAGTTTTGTGAATGAAATAAATTCAATTTTAGTAATTTAGATGATTATTATGAATTATTTCAATTTTTTTTTTTTTTTTTTATTTATCATTAAACTAAATTCAAAAATTTTGTTAACTTCTGTAAATCTGATATATTCTTTCTTTTTTTTTTCTTTTTTAAATTTCCATTACTTTCTTTTTTTTTATATATAAAGGAATTGAGTAAATTGAATAATTTAAAGTAAGTAGCAGAAGTTAGAGTTGTAGTATAAATCTGTAAATGATTTAATACTGAAAAGTGTTAGTTATATTAAAACTGCAATATTATTTTAATTATTTATTAAAATTTACTTTTCGTTTCATTCGTTCTAACTCATTCGTTGCTTTTCTGTTTAATTTCGATATTAGATGTTTTATTGGTTTAGCTGAAACATATTTACTCTTTCTTCTTTTTTTCTATCAAAATTATTTGTTAATTCATTAAATAATTGATAATTTATATTTATGATTATAAAGCCAATCACTATTAAATTAAATTTATGATATTTTATATTCAATTTGTCATTATATGAAAATTTTTTTTCTTAATTTTAGTATTATTTTTAAACAAATTATAATATTAATCATACAATTATCTATTTTGATTTTTTCTAGACACTAATCCTAAATATTATATTGTTTCCTTTTTTTTTTTTTTTTCATCCTTTCTATGAATTATTTAAATATATTTCATATGAGAATGATAACTGATTAGAATTTAAAAAATAAACCTGAATCAGGTGATGATTTTATTCTTAAACGACAAATTTTTTTAGCTTCAGGTATTACACGTAGTAATGGTGTGCATAAGCATTGTTTTATTGAAATTTCATATTTCTAAAATTATAATCATACATTCTTTTATTATCTCTAATAATTTAAAATAAATATAGAAAATGAAATGACAATAATACTTCACTTATCATTTCAATTTTATCTAACATTTCAATTAATTCTTTTTTTTTATTTTTAAGAAATATCTCACACATAGTAAAATGTACAATTTTTTCAAAAAGAAAAAAATTATTTTTTGTTTAAAAGTAAAAACGAAAATATATAATAAAAGAAAAAATAAATAAACAAGTAAACAAATAAATAAATAAACTGACACGCAATCTACGGAAGCATAATCCGCATAATGTACAATGAACTTTCATCCAACCTCTAACAATTTTCTTATGAAAAGTACGAATTTTACTTGTGCGATAAGTGGAATTCATCAGTCTAAAATTTTACAATCATATTTGTGAAGAGAAAAAAAAATAAATAAACAAACAAAAACATCAATACAAGACAGAGAGAGAGAAGAAAGAGGAGAGGAAGACATAAAGTTGATAAAATATGCAATCATTTTTGATAAACTTCCTCAATATCATATTAATATTTCATGATGTGATAATTTTTCATTTTCTTTTTATAATAAATGATAAATAAATTAACAAAATATTTGATTTCAAAAAAGAAAAAATAAATAAATAAATATTTGGAAGCTTTCTTAAAATTATAAATGATAATAGTAAAAAGAGAAGTAGAAAATGGCATATGTTTGCTCCTTTGTGATTCAATCTGAATGAGTGTAACATAAATTAACTGTTTCATTTCAAATTGTACAAATTCACATAAAAATTCGCTGATTAAAAAGAGAAAAATGAATTTTATACATCTGAAATGAAATAACTCAATCAATCAATCAATCAACCAATCAATCGATCAATCGATAAACAAATCAATGAATCAATCATTTGGTTAATGAGTAGGAAAAGAATAATTAAAACTCTTTCATAAAATGTAAAATATCATTGATCACAAAATTTTGTGCATTAAATCAATCAAAAATCTATAACCTATCTTTTTTCTAAAAACAAAAAATAAAGAGAGAGAGAGAGAGAGAGAGAGAGAGAGAGAGAGAGGGAAAAGAAAAATTAATTTGTTTTCTACCAAATACACACCCAAAAATAAAAAAAAAACAAAAAAAACAAAAAATTTAATTAATGAATAAATTTAAAAAAGCGAAAAAAAAAGTAATTAAAATAATCAAATAATTTTCTGCTATTCATTTTTTTTTTTTTTTTTGTCAAACATTAATTATTCATTTAAAAGAATTAATACAGTATTATATTAATATATCAATAATTTAGATTGAATACAACTTACAATTAAGCTGTGAATTAAAATAATAATTAATTCTTTTTCATTTGAGATGAAAAGAAGAAAAAAAAAAAAAGAGGAAAAGTGTGATATTATGGGTATGGCAAAGAGATAGGGAATAGTCACAAAATGCTTATAACTAAAGTTATTCAAAAAAAAAAAAAATTAGACAAAGATTGATTGCTATTGAAGATATGAAATTATTCAATTGGATGAGTGTAGTGAAGAGGAAAAAAAAAATTGAAGAATCTTTTTTTTTTTTTTTTTTTGCATTATTTTTTACCTCAAAAAACTTTATGAAAATCATTATAGTATAACAAAAATTGAGATAGTATGTAATTAAGTTTTTTTTTTTTTTAATTTATATAATTTTTTATATAATTAAGATAATTAAACATTAAATTTATATAAATTTTTTAAAATGTATAATTAAGGTATTTATATAAATTAAGATTATTTTTTTTTTATATACACAATTAAATTTTTTTCTTGTTTTTATAATTAGGATAAATTAAGCATTTTTGTTAATTTTTTTTATAATTAAGATAATTAAGCACTAAATTTGTATAATTTTCTTTAAATATATAATTAAGCTATTTGTACAAAATTAAGATAATTTTTTGTACACATAATTAAGCTTTTTTTTACTTTATAATTAAAATAAATTAAGCATTTTTATTTATTTATTTTTCATAATTAAGATAATTAAGCATTAAATTTTATATAACTAAAATAATAAAGCATTGAATGTGCTAAAAGATACATGTGATAAACTTTTTTTTTTCTTTTTCGAAAAATTTAATAATAAAGTGATAATAATTCTTTATGATATATTTCTTCCACTTTTTTTTCGTTTTTTCTTTGCATTCTTTAAATAAATGATAGAATTTTGAAATTTGAAGAAAAAATTAGCTTTAGAATTATAAATAGTAAATAGACAATGTAAATAAAAGACAAAATGTAGTGATGTTATCAGTTTTAATTACGATAATAATGATAAGTAGATTAATAAATAAGAGAATGGCAAGTTAAGTAGGATTATAAATTCATTAAAAATATAATAATTCATTGAAGAATTAATTAAAATTATAAAATCTACTTCATATTATTTCATATTAATATTCAATTGCTTACCACTCGAAATTTTGAAGAATTCATTGAATTTAGATCGAATTGAATGATCATTGATTTTAGAAAAATAAAATACAAAAATTTTATCATTAAATTAGCTAAGCACACAGAGATCAATCAATAATTTCACCAATGATACTACAATTATCTGTTGAAATATTTCTTATAATGGTGAAAGAGAAAAAGTTTAAAAAAATCAAACAGCATTTTGTTATCGAATTAATTTAGATCAAATTTTTTCCCAAATTTAATCAACGATCTAAACTTAGCAAATGCAGTAATCAATGATCTATTTGACAATTATAATACGAAATGATCTGTTTAGTAACCATAATATAAAATGATCTGTCTGATAATCAAAAGACAAAATGATCTGTCTGATATGAAACTATGGAATGATTTGTCTGATAATCATAATACGAAATGATCCATCTGATAATCACAATATAAAATGATTAGTCTGATAAGCACAATAAGAAGTGATCTGTCCGATAATCATAAGACAAAATGATCTGTCTGATAATCATAATATAAAATGATCAATCTGATAACCATGATACAAAATATGATCTGTCTGATAATCAAAATATGAAATGATTTGCCTAATAATCATAATACGAAATGATTTGTTCAATGTTCTAGCAAAATATCTAACAACGATATTATCAGTAATATATACTAAATAAAAAAGTATATCGATTGATTTCGATTGATCAATTATGAATGTATAATTTAGTGAAGCATAATCAGTACTTTACTAAAGACTAAGATAAAACAATAAGATTGCAAGGAAATTTAAGAAAATAGAAATTGCTGAACTATGAATCCATGAAGGATAACAACTTACCTCTTTCTCTCTCTCTCTCTCTCTGTCTTTCCCTCTCCCTTCCCCTCTCTCTTTTTTTCCTTCTTCAAATTTCTCTTTAAAAAAAAAAAAAAAAAAAAAAAAAAAACAAGCATTAAAGTAGTGAAGTTTAGCTTAGGATGAATTCTAAAAATTACTTAATCCTCAATCATCATTGAGAATAGAACTGATAAAATATGACACTGTTAAGTGAGATCAAATTTAATCGTACAACAAATTTCATCTCAACTAAATTTTTAACTTTTATGACGTCAATGGATGTGATTGAATTGATAAGTTGAAGAAAAGTGAGAGAGAGAGAGAGAGGGAGAGAGAGAGAGAAAAAAAGCAAGGAAAAGGGAAAAAATTAAAACAAATATTTTCTTTTCGTTTATTCTAAATTTAACTGAAACAATATGGCTAATACTTTTGGTTACCTACGAGAAAAATATTATTACAATGTAATTTTAACTAAGAAAAATTTTCTCTTTCATTTTTCATTGCTTTTTTTTTTCATTTTTTCTCTCTCTCTCTCTTTCTCTCTTTATCTTTTTATTATAGCATCATATAAACACATTTGAAAAATGGATTGGCTTTGGTTATTTCAAGTACTAACTATTTAGTTCAAAAAAAAAACAAAAAAAAAAAAAATATTTTCATTTCAAGAAACACTCTTTTTAAAAAATATTACTTCAAAAAAAAAAAAAAAAAATACGACTTGAAAAATAATCACATCAAAAAATTGCAATTTATAAAATTATCATTTTAGATTCTGTTCTTAAATATTTCAAAATTACCTCCTTAGTTTAATAATTAATTTTTATTTATTTTTATTTGAGAGTATTATGAATTTTTTTTTGGTATAAATTATAAAGGACATAAAATGTGTCATTAAATCAATGAATCAATTATTAAATTTTTTTTAAGCCAGAAAAAGAAAAATGAAGATTAATTAGTCATCAATAGATAACAAAATTTTAAACTTGAGAAAAGAAAATCTATAATGGAACTCCGCAATTTAAGCATTCTATTAGAGCTCCAAAACTGGATCCGGAAAATGTACCTACAAATTCAATCATTTCCGTTATTTTACACCAATATTGTCATACCGGAATATCGGAATGTTAGAATTTAAAAACGTTAATTGTCCGTGAAATACCACGCATGCATCGCAATTCCTTTTTTTCTTTCTATAAATTGCGTGATATGCCCAGAGGTTGGGTAATTGTTGGGTTTCATTCTAGTTGTGATCGGTTAGTCTGATTTGGTATTTTGTTGGGTGAAAATTGTTATAAATACAGTCATCGTTTGTATACAAATCTTTGAAACTTCAAGAATATTGATAAGGTGATACTGATAAATGCTGATTGTTATTGATAATTATTTGACTTTTTGAGGTCAAATACTTTTGATTATATTCCAAAAAGACATAATTACTGAATGTTGACCAATTATAAAATTTAAGTTATGCATTCTTCTAGTTCTGATTAAATTAGTTAGAGTTAAACTGAATTTTTTCTCCGATAAATACTGTCTCACAAATTGCAATCAAACTGATATGAGAACTGTATTAGTACGTCTGTAGTTACACCCTTGATTACGTACCTTAAAAAAAAAATCTTAATTTTGGCTTATTATTAGAAAAATGTTAGTTTTACTATATTACTATTACTGCATTATTATTGTTATTATTATTATTATTACTTTATTACATTACCATTATTATTATTATTTAATATTGTCACATTATTATTATCACTATTATTATTATGATTATCGTTATTATTATTATATTATCACTATTATTATTGTTACTATTACTACGTTGTTGTTGTTATTATTAGTACTAAAAATATATCCGCTGCATGTGAAAGCATAAGAATGAATGTTAGATGGTAGTGAAAAAAAGAAATAAAATGAAATTTTCTATGTCAAAAGTTATACAACAAATAATATCGACTATATGACTTTTTTTTAAATCAGTTTTTTTTTTTTTTTTTTCAGAAATTTAGTCAACTATGGAGGGTATGCCACGTGTACCGATGCTTACGCCAGATTTAAAATTTTGTTTGGCATCATTACCAACCAATTTTTCATCGCAAATTAAAGAAGTTAGTTTTTTTTTTTTTAAATAATTTATTATAATTCTGATTACTGTGATAAGGTTACTCTGTCATAATTTTGAGCAGTTTCAATAATTTTTTTTTTATCCTAGCCTGTTTAGTTGATTCATATTAATTTTTCTTTGTTAATATATTTTCTTTTTATCTTGGGGTAGGCTGGCTGATTCATTCCAATTCTTTTAAATGAATTTTTTTTTTTCTTTTTCTTTTTTTATATACGGTTAGTAAAAAATTAGTACAAACAAAAATTTTAGCATTTGCGGTTGATATGTATGTGCATTTAATCAAATTTAATTGTTGTGTTATTCTGAACATAATGTACATTTTGATATAATCATTCATTTCAGTATATCCTATTGCACTATCAAGATGATCCAATGAAGTATGAAAGTGCTATTGGTGAAATTGAAAATATGCGTTCGGTACCTTTTCCATTCTTTTAATTGTTCAACATCTTTTTGTAGTTTCTAGTTTTTTTTAGCAATAATATCAATATTAATTTAGATAATTTTCATAGAAGTAGTGCCAGTAGCAAACTGAATTCAAATATTCCTACATAAAATTAGTTTACTACTGGTATTATTAATTTTGAGAAAATATGAATTGGCGAAGATATATTTTCAGTTAATAAATTGTTGTGCATTAGACTATAATATTCTAGAAATTGAGTCGACTTTTGCCTGATTTGGAAACGTTGAGCATATTGAAACGATATTACGCGCAGTTATGCTTGATGAAAAATAGATTTCCAATGGAAAAAGGTGATACTATCAATGTGGCATTTTCCTGGTATCATTTTCTCATTTTCTTATCCTTTGTTTACAAAGTTTAAAATTATGATTTGTGATATTATGATGAATAAAGATAATAATAGAAATGGTTTTCTCAGATGACTATTAGTATTAGTACTACTTTTACTGCGATTATTTAATAAAGAACTATGTAGTTCTGTTCCAAAATATATTAATAAAATATAATAAATTAATCCAGGTCTTAATGTTAGAAGTAGTGCTAGTTCCATATATTTTGTGAATGGATACGGAGGTAAACAAAAATATGAATTTTAGGATGGATAAGAATAGTGATACATCAAATGCAGTTGTATTTGAAGATATTAATTATGAGCTTGCATGTATAATGTACAATATTGGTGCTGTACATGCAGCAATTGCTGCTAATGAAACACGCACTGATTTAGACGTTAGTCTCTTGTTTGTTTTTTTTTCGTTTTTTCTTTTTTTTTATCTGTTAAAAAAGCAAAAAGAAAAAAGAAAACAAAAAAACTCTGTCTTGCAGCATTTATTTGAATTCTTTGATAATAAATTTCTTTCAGTCAATTAAAAACGCTTTTACACATTTTCAATGCGCGGCATATCCTTTCGAACAAATACGAGATTCGATGAATGCTGTGAAGTATTCTGCTGTCGATTTTGATCCTTCTATTCTAACATTTTATATCACTATACTATTGGTATTCTCTTTTGTTTTTACATTCTTTTTTTTTCACCTCTTTCATCAGATGATACAATCATCTAGAATTTTATTATTTTTCACTGGTATTGAATGACTATTTATATTAATTTCATAGGCGCAAGCACAAGAATGCTTACTGGAAAAAAGTATCATTGATCATCGCAAAAATACAGTGATAGCAAAGTTAGCAATTCATCTAAGGGATGTATATATGCAATGTCGTGAACATTTTGATTTCACTGGCTTAAATGATGTCCTCTCTTCGAGATGCAAGGTAAATTTTTTCCACAATTAGTGATGTCCTCTCTCGATCTTCGAGATAAGTAAGATAAGAAAACTTTTAGTGTTGTAATATCAGCTAGAATGTTGCAGGAATGGTTAAGAACATGCACTGTAAAATCAGAAATGTATGGAGCGATAGCAATGCTTCATCTTGGCTTGCAAGCAGAAGAAGATAACAAAATGGGTTTTAGGTTCTAATTTTTGTAGAATAACTATTTTAATATAGCAATTATGTTTTTGATTTACCAATGCTCGATTTAATTTTAACGATTATTTGTTGCAGAGTTTCTTATTTTGACTTTGCTTTGGAACATGTAACTGCAGCTATGAAACAGGTTGAGAAGGATAAGCGAGAAAGTTTGAAGGAAGCTGTCATTTTTTTGAATGATGTTATTCTTGGAAAGTTCGTTTTCTTTCATTCATTTGATTTAGACATCCATTAAATCATCATTAGCTATCATTAATAGGTGTTATTATTTTTTTAAAAAATTATTTTTCCTATAAACAATCTTGATTGTGTCGTAAGGAATTTGATGCTAATCGCCGTAAAATGGATTGAACAGAGAATCCTTTTTCATGAAAGACTTAAACTTTTAAAGTAATTATGAAATGCGTTATTTGAATATAAGAGATCGGTGATAAGAATGGAACGAAACAGTAGTTTATATAATTGTATTTAGACAGCGAAATGCTAAGAAAGAAAACGACTTTATTTATCATGATCGAATGCCGAAATCAGAAGAATTGGCTGTTATAGAGGTACAAATTTATTGGTGTGCATTTATTGGTGTATATTGGCTTATTGGTGTATACAAATTTATTGGTGTATATTGGCTTAATATTTTATTCAGATATGGCAATAATTTTAAAGAAATGTTTCAATAGTCTGTAAATATGATAATATAGCACAATCAAGTTTGGATAGATGATTTGCTGTTTGCTGTTGTTTACCTTTTGTAATACAGTGTAAGACATGCATTTTTGCACTTTAGGAAAATTTTTGTAATAGGAATGAACCAGTAGGAAAGTTCAGTGCAATAACGAGAAAAATTTTAATTGCTGGTTTTATGAAATTTTTTTAGCTAATTTTTTTTTTATGCTGAATTATGTTATACAGGGTGTTAATATGGTAAAAGCAGTTGGATTTGATCCAACCGATAAATCAGTCTCTGGTCCTGATCTCTTTGCTGCATTGCTACCAGGCAATGTGCTCAAATCACTTTCTGTTTATAGTGAAGAAAAAGCAAAATTCAAACGTGCGCTATTAGAAGAAATTGAAGAAAAAGATAAGGAATTAGAGTAAGTGTATTCTAATAAGTTGCTTATTATATTTGTGATTTTGAAAAGTTGCTTATTGTAATTTTAATTTTCATAATTTACCATCTTTACATTTACAGTTTGGTTTTTCATTCATAGTTTTTTACATTCGCTTCAGTAATCGGCTAAGCATTATCATTTAGTTTCTTATTGAATGCTACTTCGAAATACCGATCCTATAATGCAAAAAATTTTGTATTTCATCCTCGTGAAAAGCATATGTTGTCACTCGAATATATTATAGATGAATATGTTTTATACTTTCTAGGCACTCCAATAATGTCACTTTTTTTTTCAGAGACTATATTAAATCTTTGCAACTTGAAGAAATTAATTTTAATGATGGGTCAGGAATGGAGGAACTTCCAGAAATGTTATTAGAAAGAAGTGCTGCATTCAACTCACAACCGGATGCTTTTCCTGAATTATTGGACAAATTACATCGTACTTTTTTTTGTTCATCCAGCAGCACAATAATTACTGATAGATAATTGAATATTAGATTTTTATCAGTAGAGAATAAAACATTTCAGGAGTTGGAGATTGTGCGATAGAAGCAGACCATAAAATTTGCAATCTTCATAATAGATTAGATGCTATTAACTCTCTTCAACTGGTTACTTTTGAAATATTGTAAAGTAGATATCTGACTATCTAGTTAAATGTTAAACAATGTTACGGTATCTCAGATTAAACCAAATACTGGTTGTAACATTGTTTATCATTTAAACCTATCGAATCGTCTTTTAAAACTAAAGCAGTTAATTGTTTAATGTATGTATATTTGACATTGCATATCATTGTAGAGAGCTGACGAAGGATTTAGTGCTATCATGAAAGAACTTAATCGTGTCAACGATCATCATATGAAAGCGCGGTAAATGTAGTTGCAAAATTCGAAATTTGAACTGATTTCAATTAAGATTTCTAAGTTTAATATGATTTAAAGGGCAAACAATGCGGAGCTACAACGTGCATTAGCTGCTCATTCAGAAAGTCTAAAAATTTTGGCAATGCCATTGAATGAATTACGTAAACGACTAACAGATAATAGTGAAACAAAACCAGGTATATCTTTTATTTATTTATTTATTTTTTCAATCACACGAAGATAAAATCATTATTTGCAGCAGATAGCACAGAGGGATTACTACTGAAGAAGATGCTGGATAAGGCAAATGAAATGAGCACTCAGAGACGTACTTTACTTTCGAAATTAAATGAAGATTTACAAAATGATGATATTACAGCAAAATGTTTGACAGAGAAGAATGAAGATAATTGGGTTAGTTGACCTGATAATAGTTCATTTATTGAGAAGTATGATAAATGTAAGTATGGGTGAAGAAAAAAAAAGATGACTTGCAGGGATTGTATGAAAATGAACTTAAAAAGCATGAGGAAACTGCTACACTGATTCGTATGAATCTTGCTGCACAAAATAATATACTTGCTGCATTGACTGATGCGAATGCTAGTTTTGGTGATTATCGTAAAAAGATTATCGATGTAAATAAAAAGTAAGTTCTTTTTTTGGTAAGTTTTTTCTTAAATGAATATCTGAAATTTTGATATTATAGCTTCTCTGGCAATCGATATTTCATCATTGATTGTTATTGATGTTCTGATAATGTCTTTTTTCATATCACTGAGGCATATAATTATCATTGCAGTCGTATGGATCAGGTACTTGCTCTTACTGCAGCTTATGATGTGTATGTTGATGTTTCACAGAAGACAGAAGAAGGCTTAAAATTCTATTCAACTTTATTCTCAATGATAAAAGGTTTAGGAAATGCTGTTGAAGCAATCGAAACTGCTTGTGAGTTTTGTTTCAACTAATTTTAATTAGGATGAAAAAATGGATTTTAAAAAAAAAAAAGGAAAAACTTTGTTTAAAATTTGATGAAACTTTGAAATCTAGCGTGAATTTACATACTTTGTTATAGTTGAAGAGGAAAAGAAAGAGAAAGAGAAAGAAATGCTGAGAGGATTGGAAGAGCATGCAAATGGTATGAAGTGGATTACTTCCGCACAAAATATCAAGAAGGACACAGATCATATTTCAGTAGGCTCCGAAAACGTCAGCAGTGATAATAAGCTAGAAATGGGTTTGTCGTTTTCATTTTCACTTTTTTTCGAAGAAATATACAGAGATTTCAAATTCTATTGAGAGAGAATAATTTAAAGATCAGAAAATTTTTAAAGGAAAGAGAAAGGAGAAAACTTTGACTTATTAGTTGTTTTGTCTTTTTTTTTGCTTTGAAAATTAACAATTAATTTCAGGTTTTAAAAGACTAAGACTGAAAGACTGTTTGGAATACTATCGCAATAATATTGCTAAAGATGTCCATCATGGCACACAACAATCTCATCCCGTTGATATCTTATCATCTGTATCACACAGAGATGAGATACAATCTAATCATCAGACCATGCCTACCTCTGATACTGCTCATCATTCCCAGTATCAGAGTTCAGCATCGTTGCATTCTCAATTTGCAACAATGTCTAATTCATCAATACCAAATACTTCATTAAGCAGTACCGCAAAGATGATTCCGCAACCATATATATTTTCTAATAATGTGGCATTATCACAAGCATCAAAGCCACTATTAAATCCTCAATTACAACCTATGGTGTCGTTAACACCGCAACACACCGTAACGTCACCGTATCATTTTTCCGCAGATCAGCGTACTTTCACTATTCAAAATCCTAATGCTATAAATGCAACATTACCAGTTGCTAATACCCAACAGGTGAACACTTCAGTTCTTCAACCACCGACCTCTGTCATTCATGGCATTTCTGAACCAATTTTGACTGCAGTTACAACAGTTAAAGGATCATCAATGACAGCACTGAAAAATGTTGTTACTTCCTCCACTACGTTGTCCACGTCAACTGCTTTGAATTATACGCCTAACATTTCTTGTGCATCGAATCCAGCACTATTGGAGAAGCCAGCTTTAAGATCAGATGCAGCATTGAATACGATAGCACCGGTTAAGATCGAGAAACCAATTGACAGAACTGTGTTACATTCTCAAGTATATGCTTCTCCATTTGCCTCAAATAAGCTAAATTCCACTTTTGCTCGAAATACGATACCAACTGCTGGCGTATCGACACTAGTCAAACCAGAAGTTTTTCCTGCTCATCACTTCACTGTTAGTTTTTTTATTTATTATTATTATTATATGCTAATTTTTATTTCCATTAATATTTTCTCTTAATAAAGGATTGTATTTGGGTTTGAAATTTATCGCATTCTTTCTTTTTTTCAGTATCCCCAAGATGCCACATTCTATACAGGAATATCACCGTGGCATCAACCTCTCAGAAACATTAATGATTTAAGTGGACGGGCAGTTGTTGAGAGTACAGTGAGTTTTTTTTTTTTTTTATCTCATATTTAGCATCACTTCGCAGAATTTGTTGAAATAAAAAAAAATCGTATGTTATGATAAATGGTAATTGTTTCGAAATTGTCTAAAATATTTAATATTCTTGTTATGTTCTAGAAAGTGGTTTCCGTTTCACCGCCAACTACGAGTTTACAATCATTTATTCCAAATAATCAAGCTACACCGACAAGAAGTACTGCAGTTATGGTAAGCATTTTATCATTTAAATTTTCACTAACCAATTTATTATTATTAAGTTAGATTGTTGTAGAAAAGTTGAAAATATTATTTGTTCAAGAATGATGATAATTGCCCTAAATGGAATAAAAGTGCTATCTTATTTAAACAATCCATTTTATTTGCAGGATATAATGAATACTCCATTAGATGTAATGTTACCAGCACCTTTGGTTCCCACTCATCTAATTAGTGAAGTTGAGAGAAACAATTCAAACATTCGAATGGTTCATCCAGTGTCATCCATTGAGGCAACAAGTATTCATTTCTTTTTCTTTTATAGCTGCAAAGTTATATTATGGTCATAATTTTTTTGCCTGTTTGCCTAGAGAGAGGGGAAAAAAGCAGAATATTGTATATAAATTAATGGGGCAAGGATAGAAGGATAAATTGATGAGAATTGTCCTTTTTTCGATCTAAAATCCCGGAATTTTCCTACTAAAACAATGTTACGAGAGTTCTTCAATCGAATTAAGAACTATGTTGGAACTGTAATTAGTAGGAAACAAATATAAGCATATTTCTTGTTTCCATTTATGCTTTTAAAAAAAAAAAAATTGAAGGAATAGAAGAAATAAACTTGGTGCAGACGCCACAACTGTCGGAAAGCGGGGGATCAACGCCAGTTAGCTCCATTGTTGTGCAGACACCACGACCTGCAGCTGCAGTAGCACCAATCATGCAAACTGATTGCAATACCACATCATCATATGACTCCACACTTTCAATCACAAATGTTACCTCAATGAGTTATTCTGCGCCATTGCCTCAGCCAAAGACAATGGTTCCATTTGCTTTTAGCTTAACTTTTTTTGATTAGAATAATGCATAAAAATCAACAATTTTATAAAGTAATTAATTTACATATAAAGTTGGTAACGAATTTAATCGAAGTAGACTAACCAATTTGCATTAGATAAGAAAAATCTTGCTAATCAAATAACTGTATGACAGGCTTTTTTTCTTTTTCTTTTTTTTTAAACGAAATTTCTCAAAATTGAATTAAAAGAAAATTACTTTAGCCATCACATATTTCGTCATGTACAAAAAAGGAAAATGGTGCCGATAATGAAGGATGTAGTAGTAGTGTAAAGGAAGTGATGAATCCTCAAACATTCACTATTGGTATGTTTGTATGCTGTTTTTTTTGATTCGTAGCATAGGATTTTGCATACGTTATAGATTTAATCGCGATTTTAATAATTTCAAACTATTATCCTTCAAGTAAAAAATCCAGGAAATACTGATCCAATCCGCTTGGAAAAACGTCATATGCGAGAACAATTCAAAACAGAAGGAATTGATGCGCAATTGCCACCTTTGGATCCTACAGATCCCATAAACTGCATAGATGCCCATTACTGGCTGAATAAATCATAATTTCATAATTTCCAGTTGTTTGCTTGCGAAATGACTGATTCTAAAGAAATGGCATTGGTGTTTTAATAGTGTTAAGTAATTTTTATTTATCCTCTATCTTGTATTATAGCTCATTTTACATTTTATTACACATCTCTGCTATCTAGCTACAATGTAACCTTTTTCCTTTTTTGAGATAAGATAGCTAAATATATTTTGATACAGCAAATTTTTGCAATTTCCCATCATCAGCTCGTGTACAGCGGACTGCTTCGACCAAAACCAACTAGATTTGTGACACTACTCAATGATAAATAATTTACTTTAGGGAAAGTAATAAGCAATACTAAACAGGATAGCATTTCTCATCCGAGTATATCTTTTCTCCTTTTCTTAGCAACTTATTTAATCCCCCATATTACTTTTCGATTTATTTTTTAATTCACGTTTTGCGTATTCCCATTACTTTTCTGCTGTGATATCTGTACACACAATTTTGTCCCGTGAGATGTATGCATAATTCTTCATATAAAACTATAACTTAATACATGCTGGTAGAAACTGAGATGCGTGAAGTTCAACATTTCACAAAGATTTCGAATGCCGATGAATCAGAATAATAAATAATCAAACAGCTAATTTACGCTTCTAAATAGTACAAAAAATTACGACTATGTATTGATATGATAGTAAAAAGAAATCATTTAAGATCGAAAAATATAATTATATTGGACGGAGATCATTCAATAACATATATTTTGATGAAAAACAACTGGTAACAAATAATAGAAAATGGATAAAAGGATGAATATGGGAGTGGGCTTTTACATCATTCATCCATTCTTACATACATAAAATGATAATACTCTAAATTATTTAGCTGCTTGTCTTCGTAATAAGGTGTAAATCTGTTCCTTGATCCAATCTTTGTTATGTGGTGCATAGGCTTTCAGTGTATTTTCCCATACTAAACATGACAAATCGGCTAAACGATCGATGAATTCAAATAAATTCTGCACATCATAAGTAATGGATGCCGAATTTGGATTTAATTTCTTCAGATGTTCCTCAAAAATTTTACATATTCCTGAAATAAACCTTTCAATCTTCAATATCTTTCAACAGTAACTAAAGTATAACATGTTTGATAGTTAATTCCCTCCAACATATGAATCATTAAACAAATCAGACAAATCATAAATTCTTTCTTTACCATTTGAAAAAAAATAATTGAATATAATCAATAACAAAGAAAAGTACTTTAATTTATTACACGTATAATGTCGAACAGTTACGATCACTCTAACATCACGCAAAGATGAAGCATATACCTTCCATACAATCGGTTGTTGTCTCATAATCGGACCACGTACGTGACTCTACACGCACCACAGGTTGAATTAAAAGAATTGTATGCGACGACATCGCTTCTATCACACTTCTACAATACACTTATATCACGTTTATCATAGATATATTCTCCGTAGAATTAATTACAGTTACGATGTCCAACACGCATTAAACGTATTCTATATGAATTTCATATGCGAATATAAAAAAAAACTCGTAACTCCTTACGTCACCTTAATTCATATCACTTAAGTAAATTAATCCCACCGAAAAAAGGAAAAGGAAACCCTTCCAAGCAGATACTTCAGCCGTATTCATTCTCACGCACCCACAGTGAAAACAGACATCCCACCGTGGTAATTTAAATTTACGTAAGGACCTCATCATTTAGAGATTGTAAACGTAACATTTTAACAGTATTACTTTCATTTTTTTATGTCATTGAATAAATTTTTTTTTTGTGCAAACGAAGAAAATGCGAATTAAAAAGAAAATAGGAATGAGAAAAAAATAAGATAAAATGAATTTGATGAATAGAATTAGTTTAATTATTGTTAACTAATTTAATTGAACTAAACTGATGGTTAAATGATACAAATTTTTGAATACAAACTTTAAATCATTCATTTATGAAGCAGAATTTAAATTGATCTTAGTCATTAATTCCATCATTACCAATTAATTACTCTATTTCCAATTTTTGGATTTATTATGCCTATTTTAATTACAAATCTATTTACTAGTAATAACATTTTTTTTTTCTTTTTTCAACTGCAAATCATTCATTTATGAAGCAAACACTAAATCCTCATTAATTCCATCATTATCAATTAATTACTCTATTTACAATTTTTTGGATTTACCCATTTTAATTACAAATCTATTTATTAGTAATAACATTTTTTTTTCTTTTTTCAACTGCAAATCATTCATTTATGAAGCAAACACTAAATCCTCATTAATTCCATCATTATCAATTAATTACTCTATTTACAATTTTTTGGATTTACCCATTTTAATTACAAATCTATCAATAATAATAACATTTTTTTTTTTCTTTTATTTCTCTTCCATCATTTCTTCCTTTTTTTTCCGCAAAATTATCAGACAAAACGAGATTGAAAACAATTAAAAAACGATTATTTTGTAGGAAAAAACAACTTTTTTTTTTTTTTTAATTGAGGAAGAAGAGAGAATTGGTATAAATTATTGGGTAGCAAATTTCACATTCAACAATAACAGCAACGATAACAGCTGCAAATTAATTCCAATGATATTAATTCTTTCAATTTTTTTTCTTTTAAACTAACATTTATCTAAAAAAAAAAAAAAAAAAAAAGAAAGAAAGAAAAAACATTTTGCTTAATAATAAATTATTTTTGCTTTAAAATAAATTATTTTCTATTTCCATTCTCTTTCTTCGCTTCTTTCTTTCTTTCTTTTTTTGTTTTGTTTTGTTGAATTTTATTAAATTTTTATTGATAAAATCATTATTTTGCATTTTGCGATCATTTTATGATAGCAATGAAAAATTTTTAATTATTTCTTTCGTTTTGTTTTTTTTCATCAAAATTTTAATCATTGTTGAATTTTTATTTTATCTTTTTTTTTCTTTCTTATAACATATAAATTTTCATTATTCATTTATCAATTTTCATATCTGTTAAATTATATTTAGAAAGAAAAAGAAAATTAGAAGTAGCAATGATTTTAGTTCACTATTGTCATTATTTCAATTAATTTCTATCAATGAAATCTTTTTTAACATAGTGTTTTTTCCCATTCTTTTTTTTTCTGTTTCTCTTTTAATTAAATCTAATTGAATACTAATTAACTGATTTCATCTATACTTTATTATCAGTCAAAAATAATATCAAAATTTGTCATATTATTATTAATATTAGTATTTGAATTTCAGCCTTATCAAAACTTAAGATCACATTATGATTAGTAATAATATTTGAATTTCAGCCATATCAAAATTTAAGATCACATTATGGATAAAAATAATATTTGAATTTTAGCCATATTAAAACTTAAATTAGTATTAATATTTGAATATTAGCCATATCAAAACTTAAGATCACATTATGATTAGCATTAATATTTGATTTTTAGCCATATCAAAATTTGAGATCACATTATGAATAAAATTAATATTTGAATTTTAGCTATATCAAGTTTTGATGATCATTCTGGAATCGATATGATCGTCAAAACTGATATGATCAGTTGTTATTAGATATGCTAGGATCAGTTTATCAGAAGAAAACACAAGTGTAAAAGCATTAAATAGAAATGATTTATGTATTTGTGCATGTTTGTATGTGTATGTGTGTGCATGTGTATGTCATCTGTCTTCTTATATATTAAGTATGCTATCTCTCCTTGAATTTCATTTTAAATTTAAAAAGTTAAGAATATTACAGTTTCAATTTACTACTTTCAAAGAAAAGCAACCACGAATTGTTAACTTTTTCTTTAGCTTTTATTCCTTCCAATAAATATTTGCTATTTTTCATTCATAAAAACAAAAAAAAAAAAACAAAAATGAAATACAAAAACGATTATCTTTGTAATTTTTTTTAAGCAAAAAGACTGAAAAGATTTTATTTATTGTTGCTACAATTCTTTAAATAAAACAATTCATCATTATTCTTTCTATTCATTCGTAGCAAAAAAAAAAAAAAGCTAAATTTTTTTTTAGCATTACTTTTTCTCTTTTCCTTAAAGATATTATTATTATCATTATCATCATCATCATCATCATCATCATCATCAATTATTACACTTTATTTTATTTCATACCAACAGATAATGATCTTTTCACTTCATATCATCTGCCCCGTTAAGATTAATAATTAAGAGAGATAAGAATCTAATTATTCGTAACAATTATTTTCTTCGAGATCTATTCGAGTACCATTTAATTAATACATATCATCACTTTTTGCTATAATCTAACTTCATTAAATTATCATATCATATTTTAGTAAAATGATACTATCACTAGTGTTTTGCATGAGTTTGCTATCTTTTTCAATGTTTGAAACAACAACTGCATGTAATATTATTATACGTGTAAAATCACTTACACGTACGCCATTTCATGCACAAGTTATTGCTCCAGATGGTAACACTAGTGAAAAGTTAGTCGTTTTTTTTTTTTCTCTAAATATTTAAATTTCTTTCTTATTTTTTTTAAACTATATATCAATCATTATATTTTATATTTATAATAACTAAAAAAAGAAAAAAATGTACCTTTCTATTAACAATGCTTGTTTAGTTTAAAGATAAAATTTCCCTTTCATTTAAAGTAATTTTCATTCAACATAATAATAATAATAATTATTATTATATTTTCTGTTATTGTTAAATAATAGATTTTGATGATAGCGAATAGATGTAATCAAATTCATACATTCAATTCAATTTTTCAACATTTCATTGAAATAATCATTAATCATCAGTGAAATTACAGAAAGCTTCTAAACAAGAATGAACGATTAATTTTTCAAGAGAAAGCTGATAAATGTGGCTTGGGACCATTTCAAATAAAAACATTCTCTGATAAGAAAGAAGAAAGTGTAAAGGTAAATTTTTTCATTCATATAAATCTTTTATGCATATAATAATTCTATTTAATTATATAAGTCGATTAGTTGAAATTTAATTTTTGTTCTAATTAATACTAATATTTATTTCAGTGATAATTGAAATAATATAAAATGATTCGCCAATTCCTTTTTTTTTGTGCTATTTATTTAATTATTTATGTAAAAATAATTTCATTTCTATTATTGTTAGCTTTACATTTATTAAATGAAATTATATAGGTAACATTAAATGGTATTGGTGCTGTAAACTATGAAGTTGGTGATGATCTAATACCAAAACAAATATTTCGACAAGGAGCTGAATGCAAGGGACAATGTGCGCCATTAGGCGATGTTGTCCAACCACGTAAAGCAACAACAACTGTCAAAGTATGAAGAAAATTTATTTACATTTGCACTGTTTACTTATTAAATAATGTTTTCAATGTGTTTATGATAAAACATCAAATTAAAAATAACAATAATAGTAGCGAAAGAAAAACAAAAATACAAAATTAAAAAAAAAAAAAAATATTTAGCAAAATTTTTTTTTCCTTAAATTCTAAATAATTTATGCTATCAAAATATGAAAAATTAAATTTACATTTGCATTGTTTACTTATTGAATAATATTTGCTAGGTGTTTATAATAAGCATCAAATTAAAATTAGCAATAGTAGTAGTAGCAAAAGAAAAACAAAAGTGTAAAATAAAAATAACCAAAAATATTTTCACATATTTAGCAATTTTTTTTTTCTTCGTAAAATTTAAATAATAAACAAGTAAATTTATGCTTGCAAACTTAGTAACCACTACTAAATTAATTTGAAAAGTTTAACAAATGTTTTTTTTCTTCTTTTTTTTTGAATGTAAATCAATTAATTAAACTGTAAAATTTTTTTCCCACAAATTATTAACATTATTTCATATTAATCAAAAATATTGGAACAATTTTTTTTTTTTGTTTTTTTGTATCTTTTTTTATTGGTAATAAATAAAGCAAAAATATAAAAATTATTATTTTGTATTTTGTATCTTTTTTTTTACTGATAATAAACAATGCAAAAATATAAAAGTTATTACTATCACCGGTAGGAATAACTACCAGTTAAAAATAAAAAAAAATTCTCCAAAGTTTAAAATTAAAATATTGAGCAGATTTTTGTTAAACTTGTAACAATACAAATGTAATAGTAATGATTATAATATTGGATTCAATTTGATTATTTAAAATACAAATGGTTTTTCTCATATTTGATAACATATAAATGTTTCAGTATTAATCATTAAGTCTTAAATCTATTATATGTTATACCTATACCTTACCTATAAATCTGTTATAGATAAGTTATAGGTAAAACTTAAAAAAAAATTAATAATGTGAAATAATAGTAAGTAAATTGTTTAGCATTAAATAAACTTCCATCAATCTTTCATCACAACAAGTTTAAATTATTAAATTTAATTATTTGTAGATTAAGATTGATTATAGATTTATCAGTTTATGATTGATTATGTTGATATGAGCAAGAAAATGATGATTGATGATGATATTAAACGAATGAATAAATGTCTAAATAATAATTAAACCTCATCTGATAAGAAAGAAACTGAAACAGAGGAAAGAGGGGAAAAAAAAAACGATCGAAAATTTTAAAAATTAAATTTATATTTTGATAAAATTAATAGAATTTGATTACAACATTCGAAGAATTTATTTTTATTTCCTATTTTTTTGTGTATTGCAATAAGACATATTGAAAATATTGAAATAATTTGAAATGATAGCTTTTTTTTATCGATCAATTATATATAAAGGGTAAAAAAAAAAAAAACTATCTAAAATAAATTTTAGGTAGAAAATTTAAAATCCTCCATCAAAGAATGTCACAAATCATTGGTAATTGCCTTGGGAAAAAAAAAAAGATATTACAAAATAAAGAATATCAGAAATTTAAAATGATAGAATGAATATAAAAAAAATAATCGCACATCAATTTTTTTTTTTTGTCCTTTCTCCTCTATTCCACACTTTTCGAGTATTTTTCAAAAAAAAAAAGAAGAAAAAAAAAAACCCCAAACATAAATCAAACAATTTACAGAGTAAATCAAACAAAAACAAACATTTTTGTAAATTAAAAGATGTAAACAATCAAAAATCATTTTGATAATCGTATAAAATTGATTATAATTAAATGCATCAGTTAATGATTTGATAATTATAGTGATAATGTCGATGATAAGTAGTAGCAGTTGCGCACTATCATATTATTCATATTTCCTGTGGTATGGGATAATTCTCTGAAATAAACATGAAAAAAAAAAGAATAATGTAAATATGTAAACAAAAATGTAAACAACAAATAAAATAAGCATTAATCAAATTAAATGTTAATAATTAAAGAAATTATGTAATTTTTTTTTTTTTTTTTCATTTTCCATATATCATTCATATTTGTTAGATTAAATGATAAAATTTAGCAAATAATACAAGAAAATACGATTGAAATAATAAAATATTTATACTGAAATTTTTTATTGATAAAAAAATGAATTAAAAATTGAAAATTTTTAAGCATAGAATTTCTTTTTTTATATAAATATGACAAAAATATTTAAAAAGAAAAACAAACAAACAAACGAACAAACCTTTTAACATTGTTCGTCTTTTACTATCAATCCTAAAATAAAGTATAGCGACGAGAATGCTAACGATAATCATAAGACAAGCAATGATAACAAATATGATTAGCCATGGTGACCAAGTCATTTGCCTTTTTTGGTTTTGTTTGTTTGTTTGTTTCTTCTACAGCTTGTCAAATTCAACAAACATATGCTAAAATGTTAGTTTCATCTTTACTACAAAAATGATTAAATTGAAATTATTGATAATAACATAGCATAAAATTTAAATTTCATACAATTATTTATAAAAATTGTTTGGCAATGAGTAAAAGTTGCAAATAGTTTAGCAATTATTTTTATTTTTTTATTTTATTCGTATTATTTTATGCTAAAATCTTTGATCAATACAACAGATTTAGCTAACTTATTTAAAGTATTCAAAATGTAAATATCAAATTGATTTATTATTTTCTTATTTCCATCAAATATTTACATAATGAATCATTCGTAATCATTGATCATTGAGCATAACTGTTGTTAAATTATGATAAATTTCATTTTTGTATATGAGAGAAATAAAAGAAAATTTCATCCAATCATTCATTTAATTATAACAAATATTTTAATTATTGAAATTTCTCTTAAAATTTATTAATTTTCATCTTTTTTTTTTTTTTTGTATTTAATATGTGATATTAATTTAAAAAGAAAAAATTACACAATAAAACTCACATTTACTTGTTAAAATCTGATATTCATGTATATATTGCAATAAAAATGACAGCAATAAAAATAACAACAAATAATTATTATTTTATAGTTATAATAGTAATAATAATAATTATTATATAATAATAATTTCTACAATACTAGTAATTAATTACAAATAAATAAGTACAATTATAATTTTATTATTAATAAGTTTGCCATATACATATTACTAATTATTTGATAAAATATAATGAAATAACATTAATACAAGTCGTAATAGCATACATAATAAAATATTATAAAGCAATGGTGAAAAATATTTGTTTGTTAAATGGAAAAAATAAAATAAAATAAACAAATAAATAAATGGATGGAATGAATGAATGAATAAGCTTTAAAGAAGAAATAGTTCACATCGTTGCAGCTTTTCGTGCTCAAACAAAATAAAGAAATGAAATAATGCCTAAATCATTTTCATTCTTTCTATTTCTATTTATTTCATTCATTCATTCATTCATTCATATACAACAACAACAACAACAACAAAAAACGATTATAATTTCATTGAAACCGTTAAAGGCTATAAATTGATCACATAATTTCATCCATTAAACAAACAATGAATCAAACAACAGTTTCAATTCAATAAAAATTCTTTTCAATAATTTTGATAACAAAAAAGAAAACGAAAAGAAAAAAAAAGGATGGAAAAATGTAATGACACATCTCAAACAAATAATATTTCTTTCCATATTTGTCCTTCTTTTTTTTTTTTTTTCCCTCCTCTTTTCAATTTTTTTTTTCCGCCTTTTTACGCTTCCATCAATGGAATAATAATTTGGAATGCATATTAATGATGAATGACGAATTACTGATAGTTAGATTTTCAAAAAAATTTGAAAAAAAAAAAAAAGAAATTGAACTATTTTAAGAATTTAAAATATTTTTTTATTGCTTAGAAAAAAAAAATGCATTAGTTGTATAAATTGTACAAATAATTTCTTTTCTTTTTGCCTTTTGCTTTTTTTTTTTTATTTCTCTTTTAAATTTCCATATTTAATATTATTTGCTATGCAAATTAATTGCTCATTGATTATTCCTTTTTTACGGATATTTTCTTTTCCGAAAAGTAATACAAATAGAAAGAGAAAAGATACAATAAAATGAAAAATATTTATTAAATGATAAGCCATTTTTATCAGTTGCTGTCACTGTTTTATTGATTAATTGATTTTAAAATGATTGTGTACAGCTAAATAAATGTTAAAATGTTAGGCAAACATTGATTGCATTTTTTAGCATATTCTGATAATCAAACATTTACATTTTTTTTTTTTAATTTTTGATCATATTGCAATTAAATTTTTTTAATCTGATATCTGTTAAAAAAAATTTTAATTAAATTTTCATTAATATTCATTTCTTGATACTAACTTTCCTTTTTAATTTGTTACACTTTTTTTTTCCTTTCATTTCATTTATTTTTGTTTTTTATTTTTATTTTGCATAATATTTTCAATCTATTACATATTTCTAGTATTGTCACATATTTTCGTAATTTTTTAAAATAAAATTCATGTTTTTTTTTTAATTTCAAAGTTACGAGTTTTTTTTTTTTGGGGTAGAAACTTTTGTTTTGAACTTTATAGTGAGACTTTTGCTTTTGGATTTATTGCACATTTTATTTTATTTTTTTTCAATTTTTTGTAATATATTTTAATAATTTTTTAATTTCATAAATTTTAAAATTTGCTACTTTTTTCTTTATAAAATGTTGAAATTTTATTAAATGGTAAATAATTTTTTTTTTCACTATGAAATTGGCAAAAAGTTGACATTTCATCTTTTTTTTATATCAGATAATTACGATACTGCATCCATAGATAATGTTATTATTAGGCAGCAGCCATATGTTCGATGATTTTTCGACTCTATAAAATTGACCATGAACTAATATTTAATTACTTTCATTAAATAATTAATTGGCTTCCTGCATTTTGTATTTTCTTTCTAAATAATTCTCAGTGCTGTAATTTTGAAATGTTTTAGTTAATATTAATGATATTTTAATTTAATTTCCACTATTATTACTATTATTAATTATAAATAGTATTAATTATGCATAAGTAATAAATTAAAAAGAAATTACTCGAATGAGTAGATAAAAACTTAGTTAAAGGTAAAAAGAAAAAATGGCAAATACCAAATATCAATGATTGCTTCTTAGCAATTTGCATACAAATTGCTAAGAAAAAAATCAATGGAAATGAGAAAAAGTTGTGCAAACTTCAAAAAAATTTTTTAGGGTTTCATTTAAAAGAGTTTTTTTTAATTTGTATTATTAAAATTTATGAAATAAGATTTGATTTATTCAAATTAATGAAGAAATGCTTAATTAAATTTAGAAAAAAATATCTTCAAAATTTAAATCATTTATTATTATACATTTAAATTCATATCAATCAATGCATTGATTATCATATCATTACATTGCATCAATTATTATCAAATATCATAGAATGTTGTAATATATTTAATGTATAATTATTTCTGTTTATTGAATTAAAAAGAAACGAATAATTGAATTTTAATTAAAACAACTTTTTAAACTTGTTTCATTTTTATGCAATAAGAATAAATTTGATTGATTTAAATTAAAGTAAAACGAATAATTGAATTTTAATTAAAACAACTCTTATAATTTGTTTTATTTATTTGTTTTTTTGTTTGTTTGTTTATTAAATGCAATGAGAATAAATTTGATTAATTTCAATTAATGATATATTCATGAAAGTATGTCTTAATTATTAATTTAATTATGATTAATTCATTGAATTGGAACACAAACAAATTTCTGATTTACTGAAGTGACCATATAATTTTGTCGACATGCTGCACGTGGATATAAACATGGTTGTAGATTGCAAAATTCCGTATCACTTACACTCCTTAAGAATTAATTAATTAATTAATTAATTATAATATTTTTATATTTGACTTTAATAAAAGTCTTAGATAATTAGAAACTTTTAATAATAATCAATGAATATGATGAAATTTCATTGTAATTCATTTAAAAATTCGAATAATTTTACTTATTTTATTACTATCTAATTCATATCACTCATCCATTTTAATTATGTATGATCAAATAATGGATAGCAAATTATAGGTAAAATGTGCAAAATACATAAATACTAAATATAAATAATCAAAAATACTCAAAAATTTTAATTCATTAAACTTTTATTATTATGCTTTTTTCCATTATTGATTTTCTGGAAGATTTTCTGGAAGAAAATTAATAATGCAAAAATGCATAATTCTTTCAAACACTTAAATTTTAAATGCTTATCAGTTAAATTCTGAGTATATAAAAAGAGACAGAGAGAGAGAGAGGGAGGTAGAGAGAGAGAGGAATAAGTATATTTTAATGATGAAAATATGATAGAAAATGAAATGCATAGCAAAATTCTGGCTATAATTGAGTTTATATTATTATTTAATAATTATATTAATTTAAATATATAATATAATTGTTTGTCTAATAATCTATTTTAACTCTAAGCTAGCTTAACTAGCTGAAAATTTTTTGCAATGATAATAATATGCAAGCAAATGTTAGCTAACTATTGATCAAATTTTTTATATAAAAATTTTTTATATAAAATTATTCTTAGATTGACAAAAAATTTATTAATTATTCTTAGATTGACAAAAAATTTATTATTTCAAAAAATTACTCAAAAAAAAGAAAAAAAAAAAAAGGCAGAAGAAATTACCCGGGACAAAAACAAGTCTCAGTACTTCGTTGACAACCACGAAAACGTTGTCGACTTCCGTATGCGCCACATACGTCTGTACAAAGTGACCATGATTCCCATACTGACCACTGAGCTTGACATCCTGGTGTTGTTACTATTGGAATCTATTAAAAAAAAAAAGTAACAAACTTGAAATTTATAAAAAAAATTTTAATTTTAAAAGTATAAAGTTAATGAAGACTTAGGATTACTAATATTAATATAAGAAATTTTAATTTATTGGTTTCAAATAATAATTTTAATGATTTTAACCAAATTTAAATTATACAAAATAACATTAAATTATTTTTAACCTTTAACCTTATCATTTCCCATCAGAATCCACTTATTTTTTTACCTACATTCAAGCTTCCTTAAATATTGTACTCTTTCCATCTGTTATCGTTGTTACGTCAAATTATGCCACGTACGTAAATAAACGTATTGCACAGATGAATAATTTACTTTATTACCTTCTTGAATCAACTATTTAATACAAAATTAATTGATGTTAATTTCAAATTCGCAATATTTTTCAAAATATTTCAATAAATGGAATTCTTTTTTTTTTTTCCTTTTAGTCATTTATAAATAAGATAAATGTCTTTCAGTTAGAATTATAAACCTATGAATGAATGCCGAATGTTTTATAGACGAGAAAATGGCAAACTCAATTTAAATTCGAAAATGAACAGAGCTTTTTAAGCTCTTAAGCTAAGCTCGGGTCTGAATCAATTTTTTTTTTTCAAAAATTTAAAATTAATGCTCACATTGCATTATGGAATAAGTCTGAAAAGTAAATGAGAAATCAATTCTTTTTTTCGAATTTAAATTACAAGTTTAAATTAACTCTATAATTATAAATGAGTAAAGCTTACAATTGGTGCTGTTGTTACTATAATTGGCGGTTTTGGTTTCGGTGTAGTTGGTATAGGCGTAACTGGAGTCGTATCTAAAATAATCTATATACTTATTCTAGAAAATAATGATAATTTAGGATTAACCTAGAATTACTAATATAAAAAATGATAATAATAAAAATAAAAAAAAGTAATAATTTAGGATTGCTAATATCTTTACATTATTAATGTAAACAATTTAAACATTAGTTCCAAACAATAATTTTAATAATTTTAATCAAAGTTCAAATTATTTTTAACCTTTAACCTCATCATTTTCTATCAGATTTATTTACCTATTACAAGACAAGAAACGCTTGCTACATTAATTCTTGACTCAAATGCTCGCCATCGAGAATTACTTCCACATAACAATTCCAATTTTGCTTGACCAGTTATATCCGATATAAATGGCAAATTTACTTCATCATTGAAATATATCCTTGCAGTAGTTCCTTTCTATTTATTTCAAAGACTTTTTTTTTGACTTGTTTAATTATTTGTTGTTCAATTTATCAAAATTTTCAATTTCTTTCCAAAAATAATTATTTAAGTATAAAATTTAGCAGTTAAGAGTTATAATTAAAAGAAAGATTTCTTCTTCAAAAAATTAATTAATTAAAATTTGACATCAAAAAAAAAGAAAGAAGGAATATTTAAAATCATTATTAAACCTTGACATCACCACATATAATATTTGCTCTACGACAGCCATCAAGTCCTCTTGAATATTCAATTGTCAATGCACCGTTAATTTCATTTGGTTTTAGCACCAATATTGGCTTAGTTTTAATGTTTTCGCAATTTGCGCAAAGTAATGGCGCTTAAATTGAAAATTGAAAATTAAAAAATAATTGTAAATTAAATAGGAAAATTTGCTAACAATGTATATTGGCCAGAAAATAAAATTTTTTATAAGTATATATGTATTTTAAAATCTTTACTTAACTAAGATAATAATATTATGTAACTTTTCTCATATTTAAATTACACCAAAGATATTTAATTACAAAAAAAAAAATTTTTCACCTTTCGCTGTTGTTGTTAGTACAGGTACTGTCACTGGTAATTTCGTAGTTATTGGAGGCATTGTTGGAATAATATCTAAAATTTATAAATTTGTTATTTTTATATTTGTTTCAAAAATTTGAAAATTATGACAAAAAATTTTCTAAAGTATTCAAATGAGAATATATAAAATAATTTTTTTTCTTAAGAAAAGATTATTGTCAATATAAACGTTATGAATAATAATAATATCAAAAAAAAAAAAAAAAAAAACCTCGTGAAAGACAGGTGACACTTTCAACGTTAACACGTGAACCTTCAGCTCTAAAACGTAAATTATCCGAGCACACCAATAAAATCATTGCTGCACCATTTACATTTGAAACGATTGGTAAATTTTTCATTCCATTGAAATAGATTATAGCTTCCGCAAGTCCCTGATAAATTATTACTTTAATTAAAGTATATGAAATTAATGTACAAATAGTATTACTAATATTAATATACTCTAAATAAATATAATTACATGTAAATTTTTATATTTTTAGTATTATTGCAATGAATTGAGTAATTTTAATATTTCACGAGAATTTTTATAAAATAAAATTATTATTGATCGTTTCATTTATTATTTTCTTCTCTTTCTTTTAGAAAACAAGAGTATATTCTTGAAATTAAAAGCACATTCTTGAGTGCACTCTCGAGAGCTATGAAAGAGATTTATATGTTTTGGTTTACGCACATATATATTCCAATTTTGGGGAAACTACTGATAACTAAAGTAATTATATTTATGCATTTAAAGTTAACAGAATTGATCGAAATTTAAAATTTTCAGGCAAAGTGATCTAATCCACTTACAACACTAGCATTACAGAGAATTTGAGCCACACGGCAACCAAGTTGGTTTTGCATATATGTAATGACAAGTTTTCCATCACCTTCAGTTAATGATGGATTTTTCACCCGTTCAGCTCTGATATTTAAGCATGTGCTACATGGTACTGTAAATCTTATTAAAATTAAACATTCATTAATTTGAAATGTAATGCACTCATATAAAATATCGTATGACTGAAATATCAGATAAAAAATTTGTATTCTAAATAATTCAAACTTCATTTCATATTAAAAATTATTCGATTGAAGTTAAAAATATAAGGAATATGAGATAAAACATACTTGGTGTTGTGATTGGTGGTAACGGTGTCGTTGGTATTGGAATATCTATAAACAATTATGAAATTATATCTTGAGAAATTTTTGCTTAGAATTTAAGAATGCTTGAAACATCATTCGAAGATACATTAAAAATAAAATCCCTCAAATGATTGTTTTTTTTTTTTAATTTTATAATGATTTATGACATTTAATTATTTCAAATTAAAATTATGGAAAAATCATTCTGTCTTTGTTTCAAAAAATAAAATTGATTAATTTTTAAGTGCTACAAAATTCATCAGAGAATGTTTTATCAATTATGTGCAAGATTTTTTCATTTCAAAAGAGACTCTGTATATTTAAAATATGTTACTGATACAATTTGATTTATTTTTTAAAATGAATTAAAGTTCGTTTCAAAATTAAGAAAAAAAGAAACCTCTAAGAAGACATGTCACATTCCAAACATTTGCCATTGATTTGGATACTTTCCAATGTATATTATCGTCACAGGTTAAGGTAAGTTGAACCATTCCAGTTGGTGACATTGCCAGTAGATTAGTTTTAATTCCATTTGCATAGATTATTGCAGTTTGCATAACCTAATATTAATAATATTAAAATTATCATATATTATCAATGATAAGATTTGATTTAATTCATAGAATATCAGATGTCAAAGAATTCAAATTCAAATTGATAATTGAAATAGCAGTTGAAATATTCAGCGGGTTTCTAGATGATTTTACAAATTGTAAGAAGTAGTTCACAATAGCATGTACATAAATTTCATTTAACTTATCACTTAACAATAAACTAATCACTAGCTCAAATTCAATGATAACAGCCGATTATGCATTTAGTAATATCTTCTTGTTTTGTTTAAAAAAAATTTTTGTTGCCATAATTTTTATACTATCTGCATTTATCAGATAGTCCACATATTTCTTGATAATGAATGTAAAATACTGATTACAAAATTTATCTACAGTCTATTTTTTAAAAAATCAAAGTTTATTTATGTTTAGTGAAAGAAAAAAGTTTTATGCTTGCAAGAATTTTGTTTTATCATAATTTATGAATTTCATGAAAGACATACCAAAGGACTAGAATCACAAACAAGGTTAGCTGTACGACAACCTCGAACATCTACACCATAAACAATAGCTAATTGACCGTTTCTTTCACCATTAATTAAAGGTGCAGCACCTATTCCCAGTATATTGTCACAAGCACGGCATATTTCCACTAAAATTTTACAAAAAATTACAAAAAACAAAATCAAAATCTTTGTTAGATTTTTGAGATGTTATAAAGCAAGCAAAAAGTATTATAAAGTTAAATAACATGCAGCAATCTTAGGTTGCAAATTTACAAAATTAAAATAAAATTTGACAATACAAAAGTTTGTTTTCTCATTGCAAATAATTTATGGAAAATAGAAGTTGAAAATATGAATTATAATCAAATTTATAATGTAATTTTATCAGCAATTTTAGTATTGATATTTGTGATTTGTTTAATCTTATTTGTATTACAAATTTCAACTTAATAAATTTATTCAACTTACCTTTCTTGCTAATTTTAACAAAAAATTACAAATTATTATTTATCACATAGCTTATCAGTCACATTAAAATTATTATCATATATTGCATATTTGCAAAAAGAAAAGAAAAGGAACAAAAAAAGAAAAAAAAAAAAAAAAAAAAAGGAAAATTGCAAGAAACCATGCAGTGTTATTTCAATCAAAATTATTGCTATTACAAATAAAATATTAAAGTATAGAAAAATGTGCTCAGTGTTTGTGTTTATTACCAACATTGTCGTTTTGTTCGTATTTTGCTCATTTGAGGTATGAATTGTTCATTCAAATTCTCGGATACGTATTGTTGACGAAATTGTAAATCTGAATGGAAAGTGAAAATTTTTATATTCTATCATTTTACATATTGTTTTGTTGTTTTTTTTTTTTTTTTTTTTTTGTGTGTGTGTTAAAAATATGCATTTGATTTATTTTTGATAATCTTGATAAAATTCGGAGTTATTCGTTGGCTTTAGGAGTAAATTATTTTTTAATGATGATTATTGTTTTGTTCATTTTTTTTTACAACTATATGCAAATATACATTATCTTCAAATTTGATCACTTAACTACAATTGTATAAATGAATTAAGTATAGCAAATTTTTAAGGGTTAAAAGTTGCATTGAACTGTTCGTTTCTTTCTTTCTTTTTTTTTTTTTTAATTTGATCATTTCATTATACTTCTTTCTACGTTGGGAGAATAATTTGATTTTTTTTGTTTCCTCCTTTTTTTTCTAATTCTGATGAATAATCTTGTAGAATAGCCAAGTATAACACTTTGTGGTCAAAATTTAGTCATTTAAACAAAATGGCTTTCAATCCCTTACCATTAATATATTTATTGTATAGTCGTTTTTGAATAATGACCAGTAGAACAGGTTTACTATTCATGCTTGGTCACCTTTAAGTAACCAGTTAAACAGGTTTACTATCAAATTGGCTACCTTTAAGTAACCAGTTAAACAGGTTTACTATCAAATTGGCTACCTTTAAGTAACCAGTTAAACAGGTTTACACCACTCGATCATGCTTTATTCACGGAAAAAACACGATAGTAAAGTTGCATGCTACACTCGCATTACCTTCATGCATTTTACTAACTCGTTGTTTGTGGTACCGCAGGACGAGTAACCGTAACAGCGACGGTAACAGCTTTGACAGTGAGAGCTGAGGTTTTGGCAATGGGTAAAGTAGAAGCAGTAATAGGTATAGCAGCTGCAGTGATAGATGCAGCAGCTGTAGTAGCAGATTTGGCAGGTTTAGCAGTTACGGTGGGGGGTACAGCAGCTGCAGAAGTAGGTTTAGCAGCTACGGTGGTAGGTACTGTAGCTGCGAGAGTTGGTTTGGCGGTAGTTGTGGGAATTGGTTTGGCAGTAGTTGCAGGAATAGGTTTGCTGGCTACGCTGGTAGGTACGGCAGCTACGGTAGTAGGTTTGGCAGCTACGGTAGTAGGTTTGGCAGCTACGGTGGTAGGTACTGTAGCTGCGAGAGTTGGTTTGGCGGTAGTTGTGGGAATTGGTTTGGCAGTAGTTGCAGGAATAGGTTTGCTGGCTACGCTGGTAGGTACAGCAGCTACGGTAGTAGGTTTGGCAGCTACGGTGGTAGGTACTGTAGCTGCGAGAGTTGGTTTGGCGGTAGTTGTGGGAATTGGTTTGGCAGTAGTTGCAGGAATAGGTTTGCTAGCTACGCTGGTAGGTACAGCAGCTGCGGTAGTAGGTTTGGCGGCTACGGTGGTAGGTATAGCAACTGTATCAACGATAGGTACTTCACAACAAATAAGCATAGAATCTGCGGTAGTTCTGGTAGCAATTGTAGCAATCGCTGTGGTAAGTATAGCAGCTGCAGTAGTTCTGGTAATGAAGGTAGCAGCTGCTGTAGTAGTAAGTACATCAACAGCCATGGCTACAGTAGCAGATGTAGTAGAATTAGGTATGGTAGTTGGAAATATTGCAGCTGTAGTGGATGGTTCAACTGTTATAGCACTACATGTGACAATTGCGGCATTAGGTGTGACAGTTACGGTATTAGGTCTAGCAGCTGTTGCAGTAACTATACCGGTTACGGTACAGGACTGTACAGTAACGGTCTTAGTAATAGGTATGAAAATTTTAGTGAAAGTAGGTGTGGTTATTGTAGGTATAGCAGTTGTAGTGATCAGAAGTGTTTTCATGATATTCACGGTACTTCCTGTTGTTTTGACCATTGTTGTTGATTCTGATGATAAACAAAATTCTCTAATAAGTTTATCGGAAATTGATAAACTTGTTTTAACTATATCTAAAATAGTTTAAAACAGAAAAAAAAAAGTAAAACTAACCATATACTGCTGATTCCTGAAAATTAATTTTCATTAAAATTTCAATTATTAGTAAAATTACTGTGTAAATATTTGAATTAGTAATCAAAAATGAATTGTATTGATCGCAAAGATACTTAGCTTATTTATTTTCATTTTAGTATTTTCATACCTTTCTTTTTTTCATTGTTGCAAACAACTTAAATAAAAATATATCATTTATGATGAATGAAAACATCATTTGATAATAATGATTTTATCAATTTCTGATAATTATCCATCTAAACACTAATTATAAATTGAGTCGTTTAAAACAAAAAATTTGAGGAAGGTAACTTACATTGGGACAGTGAAGCGAGAAATTTGCAACAGTTCCACATAGTCTTACTTCTGCATTAAATGAACTAAAAATATATTGTCATTTCTAATTTACCTGGCAAAATACCTATTTATTGCTCTGCTAAGAATTGATTATACAATTATAAATTCATTATATTATTTCCATAAGCAATTTTCTTCTTAGCTGCAAAAGTATTTTTGATTGCAAATTTTTTGTAATGAAAAACAAAAATGAAATTGAAATTCACTTGCAAGACAATTTTTTTGTCGTAGTACAATTCGGTGGATTTTTTCGACAAAACCTAAATTATTATGCTGTTAAATAATTTAAATTCTTTTTTTAAAATATATATTAATGATGAGATGAAACTGAAGAATCGTATTCCTTTTTTTATTTTGAAATAATCGTTAAATTTTCTTTAAAAAATAATATCAAATTTGTTTTTTCATTTAGCACATAATTTTAGGCATGTTTAGAGCAAATAAAAATTTCCGGTTGATAAAATCCGAAAAGGTAATAGTTTTTCTTTTTGTCCTTTTTTTCTCTCTCTCTCCGTTTCTTAGCATCACTTATTTTTTTTTATTTTCAGGTAATTTTCCAGGTAAAAAAAAATATTTTCGTTGCCCAAATAGCTTGGAAGAATTTTTTTGCAATGATTTTTTTTTTTTTGTTTTATTTTATTTACCTTCTCCGTAACTGCGAATATAATCCGTAGTGACCACTGGGCACTACATTTTGCCATGCTGACCAACTACTCCAAATTCCTACATTGTTGCAATTAATTAAATCTTCAGCATAGCTTGAATTGTAGAAGTATATTGTAATTAGAAACATAAACCAAGTATGCATCTCTGCTAAAATTAATTAGCAATTGAAATAAGCAAAAAATTTATTTTCAAATCATTGGCACAATTTTTTTTTTTAAAAGAAAAATTTTTGATCGAAATTTTACCAAAAATTACAAGTGTTTTTTTTTTTTTTTTTAAAGGTAGAACAATATCATATATTTGATAGAATTTGTTTCATCAGTGTTATTTTAGCTTGATAGTGACAGAATTAACGTAAACGCAATCAGCTTTAACACATTGACATTTATCATAAACAAAAAGAAAAAAAATTTTTTTTTTTTTTAAATTAAAATTTATCCAAAATATTAACTAATCAATTAGTATAATATTTGTTATCAAATTTTTTACTTTTAATCTTTGTTGAATAATATTTATAATTGCAATGTATATTGTAAACATAAACGTATTATATGTATCGTATCATATTTAAAAAAAAAAAAAAAATAAAATAAAATAAAAAATATAAAAGGAACTCTTTAACAGTATTCAAGAAAAGAGAAAACTAATTACAATAAAGTCCATGAAAATGTCTATTTCTACCTTTCAAATTAGAAAAAGTTGAATAAAATGAATTTAACCAAAGCAATGTCTTTTTTAAATAGATATTAAGCGATTGCTTTAGTAGTGCTCAAGAACTTTTATTAGATTTGAATTAAAGATCCAAGTTCTATTTCCTTTTTTTTTTTTCTCGAAAAGTGTAATTTAGTACACAACACAATTATTTCTTTTTTTTTTCATTTTTCTTTAATGATTAAATTTAGATTTTTTTTTGAAAAAATTCTATCAGTTGTTTAGGAATTTGTTAAATGTCAAATATCATATTTTGCATTAGTAAAGGAAATGTTGAATTATGAATAGAATTATGTAATAAAGAATGTTTGAAATAACTTAAAAAAGATATCACCGTGTTATCAGTTTGATTTTAATTATTGGTTAATTAAAGAAATAACCTATTAACCATTTTTTCTAGAATATTTGACTGAATATTATAAACGAAATTTTTTTTATGATATAGAAATATGTCCAAATTTTGTTTAGTGAAAGCAAATTTAAAATGTAAAGAATTTTTAATGTTAGCGTTGTTTTTATCAAGTACAATAAATATTTTTGTTGCTTAAAGTAATACATTATTATTCATCTCTGATCTTTCAGTTTTAATAAAACTTTTTATGTAATGTTTTAAAATATAGCAAATATTTTTTCTTTTTAAATTTGATTCATAACATTTTTGCATATCATACATTTTGATTGTTAAATTTATTTTCAATTATAAAATTATTTTTAAACAATATCATATTATATAAGACAACATATAACTTTCGTATTATTATCATTGCCTTTTCTTGTATTCAACTTACAATTATAGTTTTATCAATTTAATTTAATTTATCTGATTAATCTATACCAAACGATAATCTTATTAAATTTCTATCAAATTTCTTGAAAGGATACAAACAAAAAAAAAGAGAAAAAAAAGGAACAATCAAATGATCGAATCTATCCAATGATATTTTCTGATAATTATCTGTTAATATATATAAAGAACAAATCCTTATCACAACTATTCGTCTATGCCAAATAACATTTAAAAAAAAAAAACTATTTTGCCGTCAAGAAAATATTAACGAAAGAAAAATATTCATAAAATTAAAATCCGGTTACTGATATTTTTAATATTTCTTTTCTTTTCTTTTTCTTCACCGGTAAAGAATGCAAAGATTTTCAATTGTTTAACTTATACTTTATTTTTTTCTATTCTTACTTGTTCATTTGCTTGATCATCAAAGAGAAAATTATATTTGTTGAATTTTAATGTTCATTTTTATCAGTTGTAATAATTTTTTGCTTACTGTTGAAAAGATAACATTATCATTTATCATAGCATAGTGAAATGATCAATTGCAAGAGTTAAATTAGTTTGAAAAAAATCCAAATTTCATTAAATAAAATATTTCAAATGGTTAATTGAAAAAAAAAAAAGAGTGAAAATGACATAGAAAGAAATGATCATGCACGAAATTACTAATAAAAATTTTTATTCAAATGAGGACAAAAATCAGGAAAATGCTATTTAATCTGATAGAAAAGAACTAGTTTATTGAAAGTTGACAGTGACAATAACAACAACAACAACAACAAGAATAAACAACAACAACAACAATAATAATAATAATAATAATTTACAATGAATTAAGCCAATAAATATTCAAGAATTGTAATAAATTTGTCTCTTATGGATAAATTACTTTAGAAAATTCATAAGTTAATCGGATAGATTGTAAATGTGAGAAATCAAAATAGATTGAATAATTTGAAGACTGGATTCATTCTGTTGTAGAAAATTTTCAACCATCATTCACTAATTGATACTTGATGTATTATTATAATTGTAATAGAATTTGAAATTTGAATGCAAAGATTGTATTAAATAAAATGAAATTTTGGTAATGTAACAGTGATATGATGATGATGATGAATTTATCTAGAAAGATAATTATGACAAGAAATAAATAATAATTGCTAAATAATTTATTTCTAAAATAAATAAAAATAAACAAAATATACGCAAAATAGATGTTTCTTTTTTTTTTCCCTTTCTCTCTCTCTTTCTTCTAATATATATATATATTTTTTTTTTGAATGTTATCAAATTATCATATTTTATAATTCAACAAAAATAATTTACATTTTAAATAAACAAAATTAATTACACTTTTAATTTTATAATATTCTTTTTTTCTTTTTATCTTTTGTTCATTATATCAAACTTTCTTTTTTCATTTACTAAACAAACATATTAACATATTTGTAATTAAATAGAAATAATTACAATTTTAATTTTTTTTTTTAAATATCCTTTTTTGTTTTTCATCTTTTATTTATTATATTAAATTTTCGTTTTATATTTACTAAACAAACATTAATTATTCCTCTTCAATGACATTTACATGTAACCAAATCTTCATCAATCATATAATTTCGTACCATAAATGAAAATTCATCATAATCGAGAACACCGTCACCGTCAACATCTGCTTCTGCGAATATTTCATCGATTACTGCTTTATCATGAATATCACCTAACTCACTGAGAATATATTGGAAATCTTTTTTTGATACCACACCACCTTCACCCTGAAATAATTAAAATATATGAGTTGTCAAGAAATTTTAGCAAAAATAAAATTCAATTAAAAGTACATCCCAGCTAATAAATGAATTTATACTTTAAAATATGGTATATTTTTGCATTAATGTTTGCTTATTTCTTAACAAATTTTTAAAAAAAAAAAAAAAAAATGAAATTATTGATGGAAAAAATAACGAAATTACTAATGGAAATTTGATTAGTAAGAGAGGTAAATATGATATAAATCAAAAAATTTTATTTAAATTATCTATTAAGTTAAGCATTTATTTTGTTTATTTATTTCTAGCATATATAATCCTAACATTTTAATTTTCCATTTTTCAATCATTTTTTTTTTTCATTTACTTACTCTATCAAAAACAGCAAAACATTCTCGTGTCACATCATTCCAACTATTTTGTTTGTCACTCAATCGTTTCATCACATCACAAAATTCATGAAAATCAATTTCATGATTACCCATCTATAAAATAATTAATTAGAATTGTAAATAATCAAGAAATTATTGTAGTTAATTTCAAAGAATTTTTTGATTTGATAATTGTAAAAGATATAAACTACAGGTTGAAGTTTTTATTTGAACAGGTGTATCATACCTGATCAACTTCCTCAATTATTTGTTCAAGCTCATTCTTCTGTGGTTCCAAACCTAAATTTCTCATCGCACTTTCTAATTCATCTATACCAATTGCGCCACTGCCATCTGCAATTACCATTTCATAATGCTTTATTTGCGCTTAATGTTAACTTTTATCATAATATCTTCCAGAATTACATCCAATCATTCAATAAAAAACTATAAAATCCTTTCAAAATTTCACATATGTTTTAATTTTTTTTTTAAATTTCAATTATATCTCTTAATTTTAAATTTTAAAACATTTAATAATTTATAGCTTTTGAATAAGTAAACCGGTATCAAAGACATTGAACACTTGACGATATTCTTCTAACTCTTCCTGTGAATATCCAGCAAGTTTTGCTTTCAATAACGGAGCATTTGTACCAGGATTTTGACGTTGATTAAAATCATGATGAAATTTATGCTGTAATTTAATTCTTAAAAAATTTTGCATCTTTTTTTAATTTTGAATTTTTAAAATTTTCCTATGCTAATAAAGGCTTGGAAAATGTATTAAATTGATGATTTTAATTTCAATTTCTAAGTATTAAATGCTTTTTAATCTGATTTTGCAATATTTTTATAAAATTATAAATATTTGTTAATTACTCCATCAATATATTTCATAGCAATATCTGATGATTAATTTATAGTAATTTAAAAGAAAAAAATATTTTGATGAAATAAAATGGTAACGTTTCATTTTCCTAAAGTTTTGTCATCAAACTGCTCTATTCGAAAAATTTTTCGATTTCACAGTCTAAATGTATTAATTTTTGATTGATTATAATTTCATACCAATGCATTAATTAATTAATCAACCAATTAATTATTTAATTAATAATTAAGTTGGATATTGAAATCGTGCTGAATTACTTAAATTCAAAATACCTTTGATGCCTTTGAAAATTGTAGAAAATAAAATATCTTAACTAATTCGAGTATTGGAATCATATTAAATTCCTTAAATTCAAAATACCATTGAAAATTCTCGAAAAGAAAATAGAATATAATACCTTGATAGCACCAGCAATTATTGATGCCCGACTGCTTGGCGGATTTGATAAAAAAGATTTCTGTCGACTCGAGAATCTCTTATTGCTATTACATGGTGTTACACTTGTCATAGCTTTCTGACTTTTTTCTCCTAAACAATTTTCAGGTAACAAATAATTTCACATAATTATTATTAATTTTACACTACATTTATTCATTTTCAGATTAGCAAATAGAAAAGAAAAAGCAAAAAGTAAAAAGTAAAAAATGGAAGTAAATTTGGCATTTGAAATTGAAAATAATTGTGGTAGAAGTAATAATGAAATATGTAAAGAAAAAAAAAAAAAGGCAAATTACAATTTATGATGGCAAATTCAATTCAAATAGTTATGCGTTATGCTTAGCAATAAGAGAGAAAAGAATGACAGAGAAAAAGCTTAAAATATCAATAATTGAGGAAGAAAAGTTTTTGACAAACAATGTCAACACAATATCGCTACACAATTTAATCTTTTATAATAGTTTTTAAACGCCTTTGGACAATAATAATAATAATAATAATAATAATAATAATAATAATAATAATAATAATAATAATAATAATAATAATAATAATAATAATAATAATAATAATAATAATAATAATAATAATAATAATAATGATAATAATGAAATATCGATAACAAGTAATAACTGTTGAGAATAAAATGAAAAATTAATATATAATTTAATTTGTACTCTTTTCGACATGAATTTGTTAATATATGCATAAGATTAGCAGACAATGCTAATCGTAGCACCTTCTCTCCCTCTCTCTCTCTCTTCCCCTCTCCCTCTCTCTCTTTATACCACACTTCTCCCTGTCCCTTCAAATTTCTAGGAATCAATAATTTTCTTTTCAAGTTCCATAATAAAATATTTTTATAGTCTTTTTTCAACTTTCATTGTTACTTATATTATTGTTGTTGACCATGAATGTAATAATTAATTAATTAATTGTTAATATTACTGAAATATTTTTTCAAACAATGAATTAAAATTATTAAAAATAAACAATGTTATATTTAATTTAAAAGATTTGTTTTTAATAAGTTAATTAGACTGAAATTATTATAAGAATGATTGCAAATATTTCTGATATATAAATATACAAATAATTATTTAACCAATTAATTAATAATTATATAAATGATAATAATAGCAATAATATATAATAAATTGTAATAATAATATTTTTCAAATTCGAATAATAGCAAAAATTATTTCTGCTTCATTATTTTTCGTTACATGCAGTATTTTTAGAGTTATTAAATATAATATTTATCCGAAATGCAAGATTTTTTCACTTTTTTTCTTTTTTTGAACTTTTTTTATCAAAAAACAAAAATTTCCTATTAATAATTGAAACCATTAATGAGCATTAATTAAGAATAAAATATAAATAAAATTTCTAATTGCTAATAATTATTACAAATTAATTCTTTATAACATTTATATGTTTAATCCTTAATCATTTCCATATGAAATTTTTTAACAAAATTTTTATGAAAAATTTATTACTATTAAAACAAAAGGAAAAAAAGTAGAAACTCTCGAAGTAAAATTTTTCTTGAGACTGAAATGGATGGTGAAAAAATATTTTGTCGTAACTGAGCTCCCCATAACTACCTGCAGGCTAAATCCAAGCTTACATACCCTACTGGCGGGTAAATAATCCAGTGCTTGGCGAATTCTACTTTAGCAAATGATAGATAATATCGATATTGAGAGAATTAAAAAAGTAATGTCGCCATGAATGCTTGACAACAAAAATTTCGTAGAAAGTTTCTAGCAAGAGGGAAAGTTACCCAATTATTTAGGTTAGTTTATTTTGGCAGATGAGTTGCTTTAATTTCAAATTTTCATAATTTTTAACTTTCAATTGAACAATAGTACTAATTAAATATATAGTTAGAAATAAAAAATAAATGTATGACTAAAAAATGCAATTAAAAAACAAATATAAAAAAAATAAATAATTTGAATAAGAAAATAAATAAAATATGAGAAATTTTTGTAAAACAAATATGCATTTTTTTTTTTTTTAATTTTACTTTATTTTCAAATCAATAACAATATAAGAATATATTAAAAGCCAAACCTTAATAAAAAACATTTTTTATATTAAAATATTAATCCTTCAGAAATAATTTTAGTCTCTCGGTAAAAAAGATGAAAAATAAAAAATGAAAAATAAAAAATAGGCTGAAAGAAATCAATAAAAGGAAACAAAAAATATAAAGTAATTATACTTTATATTACTATGTGCAATAATATTATGAAAAATAAACACAAATCTTGAGGAATTTATTAAGAATAATATACATGTTTATCAGATTTGCTGTTAAATTCATAATTAATAATTCATAAAATTAATTATTTTTGAAAGATAAACAAAAAAGAAAAGAAAAGAAAAAACAAATTGAGATAAAAAATTAATCATTTTAAGTTAATTTCATATTCATAAATCAATCAATCATTTAAAAAGTAACAACATTGAATAAATTGACAAAATTAATTAAGCTTACGTTAAAATTAGTTATATTTAATTATCATCATTATATAAGAGAAAATGATAAACAAAAATTGTCAATAATATTAAAAGTAACACATTCATCTATATTACCTGGGCAACCAAAATCTTTTACTTTAATTATAAAAAAGCTTTGTGTTAAATCAAATGAAAGATATCAGAATGTAATTAGATATATACTACTTTAGAAAATAAAAATCTTTGCTCGAAAAAATTTCTGAAAGATATTTTTAATATTTAACAAGTATTATTTTTAAATAATAATTTATCTGCTGTAAAAATTTAATCGAGCTATATGTATTAAAAGTAATCTTTCATAAATATTTCATAAACAATGAATTAATACAATTTTTTTACTACATTATCATTATTCACTTATTTTTACTACGCACTGATTATTAATCTTATCAGCAAATGATAACAGTTAGACAATATTATAAGTTCGCTTATACAAAATAGCAATCGTTTGCAAACTATAATTAAAGAATAATTTATTTTCGAATTTATTTGAAAGATGTTGCAAAATGTTAAATTAGCTAGCATATAGAATAAATTTAAACAAAGATAATTTTATTAGACCAGGAATGCTCTACTAATTTTTACTGTGAACTGTCTTTGAGTAGTTCAAAAAAAAAAAAAGAATGAAATTTTCTAGTTTAACTAGGAAGAGTGCATCAAAAATCGATAAACAATTATTTACACAACAATACTTACCTTATTTTTCAAATATTCTTATTTAGTAACAAAGAAGACAGACTTTTATTTGTAATTAATTGCATGTTTAGTGCAAACAATTTTTAGAATTTAAAAATTAAATGACTAATCCAAGCACTTATTCACTTTCAGCAAAATACTAACAAGTCTTTTCACATTTTTACACTTTCTAAAACAATATTTCATTCATTTTTACCATCTGAAGTTGACTATTTTAAATGAGTTCTTTTATGAAGTGTTATTTACAAACAAATGTTGAAAATATAAAACAAACTTTTATCTTTCATTATAAATCATTTAATGACATTCTTCGCAATAACACTCCAACAAAATCAGAATACTTTGAACAGTATGCAAAGGAAGCATTCCTTTTTCGGTATTAGTATATTACACCTTATTGATTCAGAACACTTCACAATACATCGTAACATTTAAAATAGAAAACATAAATGCATAAACAAACAAAACGTTGTTAAAAAACTAAAAAACAAGGAACAAAGAACAGTAGAGAGTAGAGTTATGGAATACAGTGATTTATTCAACACAGATGAAAATTTTTTTTTTCATTACTTTTATATCATTTTAAGTCATAACAGGGAATAATAATTAACTGTAAGGTAAGCTAATCCGTAATTGTGTTAATTAATGAAAATTTTTATATATTTATATACAATTATACAGAATGATCATGAATGGAAATTTCAAATGGTTCCTTTTCCTTAAACGCAAAAGGATAACTACGAAACGATGATGTGCGAGCCACAGATCCATGTCGTCTATTATAACTAAAATATAAATCGTTAATAATAAAACACAAAAAGATAATCAAAATGATAGAAGAAATGAAAGAGAGAGAATAAGCAAATGCACAGTAAAAATTGAAATTGTTAAAAATGAAATTTTAAGATCATTTCAATATATTAGAGTGCAATCAAAAGTTTTTTTAACTAACATGAATGAGGGTGAAGTTATTCTGATATCACAAAAACCATCGATTTGGCGCAAATCGTTCTCTATGGCTCTGATATCACCATCAAAGGTATCGTGAAAAATATAACCATTATCTGTTTCAGTCCAGTTAACCAAATAATTCCATTTGGTTGAAATTAATAGTTTAGGTCGTTTCACATTTAGACTTTGAAAAGTTTCGATATTAACCTTAAAAATAACTGTATTATTTCCAGAACGATTTACGGTTATGGTTGAATATGTTACTCTCAACTATGCATAAAAAAATATTAGGAAAGTAGAGCTAATTTTGCATACTTCAAACTCTATTCTCCATCTCCATTGCAATTCGAACAGAATACCTCTTGTTATGAACAATACACCTAAGAATCCTATTCATTTTTTGATAATACCTGATTTCCATGAAGTTTGAGAAAGAATAAATTTGGCAAATCATCATCGTCCAGATTATTCCAGTCTTCATTTTTATAGCAATCCCCAAGTCTACTTAAATTCAAATGAACTAAATGCCTGAAATAAATGAACTTTTTATCCTATTACAATAAATACAGCTATACAAGCATTTCATGTCACATTTCCTTCGAAATGATTAGCACTAATCTAATCATCTCAGACTGCTCATTCGCTCTGATAAGAGTGACCTTTGAGAAATATCTTTTCTAGCTATGAGAAAAAAAAAATTTAGTATATCAAAGTGACATACTGTGAAGTATGAACTGAACCTCACTCCCTAATTAGTTCTAGCAAAAGAGTGTAAAAATTAAGCTTATCTAAAAATATGTAAAAAGGATAAAATTTTCGGAAGCAAATGAACAGTTAAGATATGATATTGAAATATAGAGTAAAACAAAGTTTATTCACTTGAAATGACTAATAATAAATGGTACAGCTGCATCGTCCATATATTTATTGTATGGCAAACCAAGTGATCTCAATTCTGGGCAACTACAATAATTAATATTTAATTCAATTCTGGGCAACTACAATAATATTTATTTTCTAGCAATATATTTTGTCTCTAACAAATAAATTAACTCAAAAATGCTTTCAATTGACTCAACTTATAGCTTCCTTCACTCATTGCAATCCAAAATTTGTCTTAACTGAACGACAGTAATAATCAGCATACTTCCGGTTAATAGTTTCTAAAAGATTAGTTCTGCAGGCATGGAAATCGGCAAGTTCTAAATGTTTGAGTTTATACGGGAATGATTTTTCGGGATGTTTGCATGGTAAAGTAAATAAAGCAATCATCCCATCGTTGGTAAGATCACAATCTTCGCCGCCACAATTTATCCGTAGTTCTTCCAAATTGTATAAATTCTGCAACATCAAAAGATTAACAAAAGTTAATGAATTCTGAAACAGAAGAGCTTCCATGCTAAAACAATCGGTTACATCGCTACAAAAGAAGCATAATGAATTACTTAAATCTCCAAGTTTCAAAAATTTGATTAAAATTATTAAAAATTATTTCACCATTCTCCTAAAACGTTCAAATTAACACTATTTTCATATAATGAGAAGGTTTTAAATCACGTTTTTCATAAATAATCGCTGTTTACCTTTAGAGGAGCGATGAATTCATCAGGGACATAAATACAAATACCCAATGAGAATACTTTCAAATTATGCAAGTCAGCAATATATTGAAAGTCCTCATTTTCAATGTAATATCCGAGATGAAGTTCAGTAAGTGTAGATTTCCATGAAGAAGTTCCGATCCCGACAAAACTGAAAACCAGTAGTACACTGAGAATACATTAGTAATGTTAATGAGCATAAGTAACAGCTAAAAAGATTTTAATAAAGCTAGCAAATTAGAGAAACAGTTTCAAAATAAAGTCATAAAACTGTTTTTAAAGGTCAACAACAGCCAATAAACCCTATTTAGGATAACACAGGAAGAAAAAAAGATTTACTTCAATTTAATTGCTCCATTATTAACACGCAATAAGTTTAATGGACGTTTGCAAGCCCATAACTTTTCATCGGCTTTCACGCAGTACTGACTTACATCACCCATGAAGAAATTCCGCATTTTCGGGAAAATGTTCTCATTTTTAAATAACATTTCCAGCACTTCATTCCATTCCTCCTCACATTCATCATCATAAGCGGAACACTAAAAAATAACACTTAGAACATTACAACGGTTAAAATTAACTCTAACAAATACTATTCAAAATTATGGGAAGATATTGAGAATAATTAAATGTTTAATAAATTATACTCGCTCCACTGCATCCATATGTAATATTTCAACATTGGGGAAGCAATATGATAATTTTTTCAACAGTGAAATATTCATTTCTGCAAGAAAAAAAAATCATTCCTTAGATACTTAGAAAAGCTTTTGAATTCCAAAAAAATAAACTCTAACTCAAATCCGTAATTTATATCATTTTCTCTTTGCATCTGAACTTTTATGTCAAGTAAGGTGATTTTAATTTCTACCCTTAAAAGAGCCAATATCGAGATGGATTACATTAGGAAAACAAATTTCGAATAATGCGTACACTTCGGCGGATGGCAATGGTACAGAACAATCAATACACAATTTCCGAAGATAATGCGAAGTCTGAAAACATATAAAAAACGAATATAACATACTAACTCATTAATTAGCAAAAATAAAGGGAAACAGAAGGAAACGAAAATAAATCAAGGTGATAAGACTGTCCTCAGAGTTTGATTAATTACGGTCAATAAACTACAAATACTTTCTTCACTGATTATCATACATCATTTGACATAAATTCATTCGCCAAAACTTACCCTATGGAAAAACTTTTTCACACTGCCATATTTCAACGAAATATCGTTAACTAATACCCGAACTTCGGTGAAAAAAGCAGAATGATTCGCCAAATAATTCCAACGGTGACAAACCAAAGAGAAACAGTGGATCAAATCAATCGGATGACAATAAGCAAATATTGTCAATAATATATCATTCGACAAGTCATTAATTGTTACCTTAATAAATTACTTACAATTGAAAAACTTTTCACTGGAATCGTTTGCAATGGATCGTAATAATGAAAACTTCCAAATATTCACCGCCGCGCTATCTGAATCAGCTGTAAATTGATTGATATCCACTTCACTTCCGGTCGAAGCCTGGAAATTTTCTATTTCATATTTTATTAAAGAGAGAAACAAAAAGAAAGCAGAAATTCGTTACACTGATAAGTAAAATGGATCACTTGGGACTTCAGATTGGTAGTCTTGTGTCGCGTAGATGAGTAAGAGGAACGACCAAGTTGTATCAACGGATAATATGTTTGCATCCGATGAGCACGAGTCCTAAAATTGACTGAGAACCCAATAAAACTGTCTTGTAGAGTCTAATATTCGATGAGAGTGGATTTTATGGCAGATCTGGGATAACAATCTTAAAACTTCTTAAAACTCTTTCCAACACTTTTAATATAACACAAGAAAACTTACGCCTCAAAAAACTTATATCTTTTGTCTATCGTATCATATTTGCGCGACACAGGGCGATATCGTCCAGGCGATTCTGTTATCGCATCCATTCTAAAATAATTATTGTCTAAAGCAAGCAGAAATTGATTCATTAAGAAATTTTCATTGCAATTCCAAATCTCAAAAGCAAAACACTGTCATTTTGCGCTCAAAATTGAGCAATTATATTTCAATCAAATAAAAAATCAATAAAAAGCAAATAAATCAAAAATTTAAATACGTCCGAGCAGCGCGAATTCATCATAATGTGTGAATGACAGAAATGACACATTTGATGTCCGCATGTGATCACAGTGACTCATCAAAGGTGCACAAAGGTGAAGCAGTAAATAATTTTTGAAATTCAAAAACGAAATTAATAAAAGGAATAAAATGAGGAAAGGAAATTAAAAATGGAATGAATTTGTGGGAGAAAATGGTTTATAAATAAAAAAGAAAAAAAAAAAAACAAATCAAAGATGCAAAGAAATAAAATTAGCCACAAACACTCCTTAACATTACATACACATATATAACACAAATGAATTGTTGAATAACAAATCTTACAAAAAAAAGTAATGAAATCATGAAATCATCAATGAATGGTAAAACTATAATTAATAATAGCTGAAAGGAATTATTTATAACAGTTGATGGATTATTTATTTTAAAAATATTTCAAATATTAAATCTTTCATCCATTCATACATCAACAAATTTGCACTCAGAAAATAACAAAATTTTCACTATGACATAACTTTTATGAATTATTGATGGTCATAATTTATAGCATATTAATTCTGAAAGGAAGCAACAAAAAGACATTAACTGTCAGTTTGTAAGTTTATTGATTAATTGTTGTAAAATGATTTATTGATTAATCATTGTAAATTTATTTATTGACTAATCATTGGAAGATAAAACTAATTATGATCATTACAAGAACTGCTAACATATAAAACATACAAAAGCAATAAAATATTAAAATTATTTTAATGAAAATAGTATGAATGCAAATTTCACGTAATGTTCACGTATAGTAGCTCACGTAATGTCACAAATTATGAGATGGAAACATACTTTAGTGTAACTTTATCATATCATTCAGCATTTGTAAATGCTATAGTCAAATAGTCAAAATTGAAAAACTTCCGAGAAAATTCTTTTCCTTTTTTGCTGTTACAAAATTTGATCGTAATTTATTTGAAATTAAAAATCAAATCATTTTAAAATTTATTACTAACTTCATTTTGAACATGTAACTTTCATTAAAACATATTGCTACAATCTAATTTTCCTTTCATATATCGTTAATTTTTTTCTAATGGCCACAAAGGCTGATAAAATTGTTTCTACCTCTTTAGTTCTTTTTTTAATGAAATCTCAAATTTGATTAATTAAAATTTTTATTCTAATAAAATGGTTGACACAACAATGAATTAGCAATAAGATATTCCAGTGATTGTATCAGTAACAACAAGGAAAAGCGCAAATTGTATCAGATATTCCAAGTCGATAATCAATCTAGCTCAAAGGATTTTATAAAATGAATTTCATGGATGGCACTGTACAGCTACCAAAAAAAACCAGAAAATCGATATATCCCAGTTGTAACAAATATAGTTGACAAATGTATGGGATTAATAATTATGGTGAAAAGCAGGAATGGATGCCTTCAATAATAAAAACTGATAAAATCATTAATGTTCAAAAATCTCGAAATGAAAGTAAAACTATAAAATGTGCAAAAAAGTTACACAATACAATGAGTCATTCAAAGTAATCATCGATTTTAATTACTACAAAAGTACAATAATTCCACCTGTCAATTCTTTATATTAATTATGAGTTTATTTCCATATGAAATCATTTCTCTGCCTAATCCATTTTATCTGTTCATCAAATTTTTACTTTTTAACTATATTTGTAGTTAATTAGAATTAAAATAACTGATAAAATCTTCACTGTCAAGTCATTTATTTTTGCCAACGAAAATTGCTTAAACTTTTTACACTTTTTCTATTTTAATTTTTAAATCTTTTTTTTTTTTTTGTAAAATTTTTTTGTTTGTGCAGTATTTCATCAAACAGCCTATGACATTATAGTGAAAGTAATATATGCAAGCAATTTTTTAAGAGAAATTTTAAAGAAATCTTTGCGACAGTAAATGACTTCCTATTAGCTAGCGATTGCTTAAGCTTTAATGATAAAGCGGAAAGAAATTAATGATAAGTTCATTTGAATGTGATAAAAACATAAATAAACCATTTGGTTTGCTCCAGTTTGTTTAAATGAAAAATGATTGCAATTAATTTTTTTGATATGAATTTAATTTAATTCAATTTTTTTTAATTTTTTAACTTAATTTAAAAATAAAAAAATTTCGTGATGAAAAATTTTTGTTACAAATCCAACAAACAACCATTTCCTCATTATTTATAGTTTGCGTGAATTCCATTTTGCTTTTCGAATGTGATTCAAATTAGTTACCATCAACTGAAAGTAACTTTTTGCACTGAAGAAAAGTAACTTTTTGAAAGTAACTTTTTTCACTGAAGAATAATAAGTTTCCGAGTCATTATTTGATGGGGATTGATTTAAATTAATTAATTAATCAATGATAACGATGCATAACATTTGTTTACTTTTCATTGATTATTCTTTGCTAAATTATACTATCAGTTGTTGCTCATAATTTACCAAATCTCACCTTTTTTTCTTTTAAATGAAAAAAAATTTAATTTTTGACAAGCAGAATTTTTTTTTTTTAATTCTTTTTTAGCAAAGCTACGGAATACGACGAAAGTAAAAAGTCAGATGGAGATATGAGCAAAATTCAATCGCCGATGGAGTAAATTCTCTATTAATAGTGCATTCCGGAAAATATTTATTAAATTAGACCCTCAAGTTGCTATTATCAAAATTTCTATTATTATGCCACTGCTTGAATTACTATTATTATTTTTTTTTTTTTTTTTTTTTGTAACATCGAAAACGTAAAATAAAAATATTTCAGTAAATTGTGAGGTTTTGCACAAAAACCAATTCATACATATATAAAATTATGAAAAGAATGAAAAGCAGAAAAAGTAACAATAATAAATGAAATAGAAAGTAGAAAAACGGAATTTTTTTAAAATAGAACTTGAAGAAAAAAAAATAATTTTTAACTTTGCATAAAATAATTTTATTTATTCTATTTATAGCAATGCTTCAATTATTCATTCTCTGATGTTATACGTACAAAATTCACATACATTTCATATTTTTGGCCAACTGTCAATGACAAGAAGCTGTGAATGAATTTTCAAGATGAAAATGGCAATCAGTAAAATAACGAAGTTTGAAAGAAAGATTAGGAGAATGAAGAGAATCATGATAACTCAGTGAACTAATAGAAAGAAAAGTGTAAACTAGAGATTATTGCAATCGAAGAATTGATGACAAGACAGAGAGAAGTACTGAATGCTTTCAAAGGTTTATACTATAACTAAAGATGAAAAAGTCGTAAGTTGGTCTTAGAAAAATAAAGATGTTGTCCCGTGTCAGCAAAACGATATAGCTTAACTCAAGAAAGGTTGAAACGACAGTGAAAATAAGTCTAACTGATTACGATGAATATTTGAATGATTTATTTCAAGATGAAGTTATTGAAAAGATGAAGAAAGAATCTGCATTAGACTGTGATAAGCCCATCAGAAAACCACCTGCGAGTTATATTTGATACTTTAGCAAAGACATACATTAATTATTGGTAGGAATAATATTACGTATAGAGAAGTATTCCTAGAAGTAGTCTCTCTATAAGAATAATATGGTCATTCTTAGAGTATTCCATCAATGCATTAGGATTCATTGAAGTTTAAAAGTGTTTGGTATTATTCATGGCACAAATTAGAATGAACAATTGTTGGTCATTAGCATGTACACTTCTATCTTATAGAATTAAACTAATTGTTTGAAATCGCTTTTGTTTTTCCTTTAGTATTTGTTTGCCATCTAAGTTACGCACAGTTACTGAATATGAATATGAATACTAGATATATACGATTTTTATATCTTTAAAAGAAAATATTTCCAACTATTCCCTACCATTTTATTAATTAGTTGTGCTATTTTAACTCTGTTGCAGAAAGAAGCAACTTTTGCATTATTTAATGATGAAAATGATTAAAGTATTAAACAAAAAACACTCATTTCTTGCTTTTATGACCGAACTACTTACTTTTCAATATTTTCATATTTTTAAGATTAAACTGAATATTCATATTATTAGGATTAAACCGATTTTTAGTTGGTTTACTCATAGTCAAAGTTTCTTATCAATTATATAAGCTCGAGATACTGTGATATTAGATAAAATTATTGTGCTGATATATTAAATAGTGATATATAAAAATGATATTAAATAAACAAATTAAATTCTACAAATGATATCTTTGCAGTTATATAATAAAACTGTCAGTTAATGTTAATTGTCGCATCAAAGTTTATTGCTTAGCTCCAATAGCATAAACTTAAATTGAAAGTAAAACAACACACTGAAAATCACATTCAAATGTAATTTTGCTTTCATCATAATTTCTACATCGGAAAAAATTCCATATTTACACACCTTGCTTATTTCTTTTCATTGTAAAATATAGTTTCTGTTGCAGAAACATTAGTGGTTGTTTACATCAGTTTGATACTATGGTTAGGAATAGATGAAGCATGAAATCATTGATTAAGTTTATATGAAAATTTTGAAAAAGAAATTATAAATTGCCGCGTGTTGACATGCTGATAAAGAGAAAATGAAAACATAGAAATCATCAAAAGAAAAAAAATCTCACAAGAACAAGAAATCATTTATTGTAGATGCTGTGATTGTTTGAGAAACATTCATTTCTGGTGCTGGAGCAAATCCAGTTATGGCTTTCAATTTTGGAGAAGAATTCTGTTGCTTTTCAAAAGTTTTTCAAACATAGACTGCTGTTTTTGGAGATTCTGCTGAAGTGAAGGTTGCTTCTGCTTTAGTTGTTGGAGAAGTTGTTGTTGTTGTTGCATAAGTTGTTGGAATTGAGGTTGT